TGCTTTGCGCAGCATCTCATCTCACCTGTGGTCTTTTCTGTGCACACATTCACTCAGCAGGGGGCAGTCTTCTAGGTAGAAAAATGTGGCACACGGCAGTCCCACGATTATTTTAACAATGAGGCAAGCCCGGGCTCCACGCTTTCTCTTTGGCAAGCCTCCCTCGCCTTCGGCACACATTTACTCCTTAACAGCAAGGGACCAGAAGACAGAGAAGAACCAGAGATTTTTGTTTTCAAAAACTTAATTTTATTATTATTACATGTCTAATGTACACGCCTATGATACATATATGCGTATGTGATGAGGATGTACAGGTGCTCACGGCATGGTGTGTGTGTGTGTGTGTGTGTAAGAGAGAGAAAGAGAGAGAAGGAGAGAGAGAGAGAGGCTTTGTAAAGTCTCTTATCTCCCTCCACTTCTGATGGGTTCCAGGGATCACACTCATGTCTGCCAACCCACACGCCCTGCTCAGCCACCTCGCCAGAACAGCGAGGGCTTCCCAATTTCCTCACTTATTTCAATTATTATGATTCATGCAGTAGGTATACAAGAAAAAAAGAGGCAGAGTTAAATTAAAGAATTTGGTGACTTCAACTCATAAAACCTAATTGGCTGCTTGTAAACGTGTCACAAAACAGCCCACGTTCACTCTGCAGAGAAACCATAATGGAAGGTACTTCCAGGTTCTCAGCTGCCTTGATTACCTTCTTGTCTAAGCCACCGGGAAGATGTGAGTGAGGCGGGGAAGCCTGAGGTTGGCCTGGTAAATTGTAAGAGGGCCATTTATCTGTGACTCTATGCGGATACCCAGAGTGCCAGGCGGTATAACTAACCCTGGGTGAAGGGATTTGCATTTGTATCAATGGGGCTGGAGAGTCATTGAGGTTTCCCAGCAGCTCAGCAGGGGCCCAGAGAGGGATGTCTGCCATCCCCATTTTAGCTCTGAGATTAAAAACATATATGGGAAATAATAATTTCTTCCCGATATATTTAATTCTTTTCCTAACTAAATCAGCACAGTGAAAAATCAGGTTGTAAGACAGAAATCAGTGGTGGATTTCAATGCACCTGAGATATTGATCATAGATTTTTAACTAATGGCTTATTTCATTGCATTATTGCAACCCCATAACCATATTTGAAAAGTTCAAGCACGTCGGGATAATAATTTGCAAGAAACTGGGAAACAGGTTAAGGCGTACCAGACTGCAGTAAATGGTTTTGGTTCAATTCTGTCCCCACATCTTATTCCAAGCAAGAATGAGCCATAAAACGTGCTCCTTAACTCAGAACCAAGTAATAACGGAGACAAGTATTCCACCTGGTTAGAATTTAAGAGCAATTTCCTGAGGCTCTGCCTCAGGGAGGGTTAGCATTGCTTGAAGAAACGCCATGACCACGGCAGGCAACGCTTACAAAGCAGACATTGATTGGGTGCCTCGTAGAGAGCATGGTGTCACACGGCAGGCATGGTGCAGAAGCAATATCCCTGTCCTACATTGTGCAGGCGATCGGAAGCCAACTGACTGTCACACTTCAGGAAGCTTGAGCAAAAGACGCCTCAAAGCCCGCCCCCACATTGTCACACAAGGCCACACCTGCTAGTTAATGCCATTCCCCTTGGCTGGCATTTTCTTTCAAACCACCATATTTCATTCCCTGGGCCCCAAAGACTTATAAAAACACCATAACGCTAAAACGCATTTAGACCATCTTCCCTCTAGCAACTTCTGTCTGTCTTAGTTGGGGTTACTATTGCTGTGAAGAGACATCATGGCGGTGGCAAGTCTTATAAAGAAAACATTTAATTGGGGTGGCTCTCTTACCGTTTCAGAGGTTCAGTCCATTACCGTTGTGACAGGGAGCATGGCGGCGTGCAGGCAGACGTGTGCTGGAGCTCAGGGTGCTGTATCTTGCAGGCAACAGGAAGTCGACTGTCACACTAAGGGAAGCTTGTGCAAAGGAGACCTCAAACCCCGCCTCCAGAGTGACTCACATCCTCCAGCAAGGCCACACCTCCTAATAGAGCCACTCCCTTTGGGGGCCATTTTCTTTCAAAGCAGCACAGCCTCCATTATGAGAACAAAAAGAACACACAGTGGAATGATAGGGGCCGGCCATACGCCAAAGAGGTAATAAGGATTGTTTCCCAGAGCCATTGTCTAATACCGGTTTAAAGTGCCAGACAATTCTGGAACTTTCCATTGTGTGATTTTACTATATAGATAAACCCTTTCTTAAGCTTTTTTTTTTTTTTTTTTTTTTTTTTTTTTTTTTTTAAGATGGGTAGAAAATCCAAATCGATCTCAGGCCAATTTCATATAATTTACTTACAAATATTAATGTTTTATCAACTAAAAATAAGGGTTACTGGTAATGAACCCAAACTTAGATTTCTTCCGGAAAAAAAAAAAAATCAGTCTGTGTTTTTACTTAAAATTAAAGAAAAATCACCACCTAGGCCAACAAATATCTTATTAGATTTCTAACATTTTAATAGAGGTACTGAAAAGGTAATAATAGTGTTTTGGGCTGTCGTTGGGAGAAAGCCATTAAATTTTAAGAGGAAATTATTTGTTTTTGAAGATTTATCGTGTAGTTGAACTGATAAATAAAATGCTGTTTCAGATTGGAACACATTGGCACTAGGCACATTCAGTCTTCTTCAGAAAACGACAGCAAGTCCTCTTTACGGTTCTTTTCCCTTATCCTCACCGTGGAAATGAGAATCCCTCCTTGTGTATGTTGATGAGACCAGCTGACTAATGTAGGTCATGGCCTGGTGGCCACCCCCACCCCCCAATCCATTCTGGACCCGTCTTTCTTAACTTATTATATGATTTCACTTGGTTTCACTCAGCAATACACGGTTACAGAAATATTTAAAATAAATCTCGATATTGAAAACTTTGCTATCGCTGTGTGGTGGGTCTAAACCAAAGCTGAGCAGGGGGAAATAGCTCAGTGCAGGGGCTACTGCTTAAGGGTGAATTAAATTTCCAGAAGGTAAAAACTTGGAAGAAGACCAAAGTCACAACCACGCAGGGTGCATGTTTGGGACCTGTGGAGCTCATCCACAGCCAGGCCAGCCTAATCTGCAAACTCCAGGCTAGTGAAAGGCCCTCCCCCCAAACCCCACAACCCCTCTAGTGGGTAAATCAATAATCAATAACAATTAAAACTCCCAATATTAATGGTGCCCGAGGAAGAATGACACCCAAACTTATCTTCTGTCCTTCATACACAAATGTACACATGTGCAACCACACACACACACACACACACACACGTACATGCACACGCTCATGCACACAAAAGCTCTTTTCTAGCCTAAGGAAATGAAAGGGCAGCCTTTTACTGTTATCAAAATCTTTATTAGAAGGAAAAAACCAAATATACAATGAGCAACAACAAATTGCATTGAATATTAACCATTCTAGCTATCAAAGTTATTTAGACCATATATTTCAGTGTTCCTGCATAGCAGAGACACAGTGACTACATAACCCACACCGCCATGGGCTCAAGAGAGCCCAAACCACCAGGCGTGGGGCGGGAGGGGGGGTGAGCCCACACCGCAAGGCGCTGGTGGGAACTTTTTGGTATAAAAGTACCTAAAGTGATCTTCTTACAAACAGATCATTGATTAACAACAGTAAGTTACAATGGATTGCCTCACTCACCTCAACCGTGGGACTGACTTGCTCTGAGTTGGTAAACCCAGTCAGTTCCCCAATTAAGCAATCCTTATAAAAATTATTTAAAACTGAATCAAAACAGTTCCTGTTTCTGTTGGCCCAAAAAAAACAAAAAAAGCCCAACAGGTAAATAAGTCGTTTCATATAAAATGTTAGCAGAATGACATGTACAGAACAGGCTCTCACGGAAGAGTCATGTGTAAGGGAGCTTTTCCAGCACAGGGAGCACCTGTCGCCACCCTCCGAGGGGGAAGTTTCCCTGTGTAACTCCCACAAGACACCCTTTCCAGGATGGGTAAGACACAAGTAGTGTAGATGCGGGCCTACTTTATTTTTAAAGAACTACTGTAGAAAACATTATACTTTAAAAAGTCTTCTAGTAAGAACAAAGACAAACCCAACAACTATTCTCTCGGGTTGTTTTGCTTGCGTGTGTAGCACACACGTTGGTGAATATCCACGAGGTGCAAGGGGAATTGTTCGTGTCTCACAATGTGCTCCTCTGGTGTCCAGGATTGTCAGAAGTAGTGAGATGGCCAGAGGCATCCACAAGATGGAAAAACAAAAAAGCAAGCAAACAAACAAAAGACAGAACAAAACAAACAGGAAGACTTTTCGTCACTCAACAGTGCAGGGTTTAAATTCTTCAGACACGGTCTCTACACTTGCCCACGGGAAGTGCTGACCAGCCAGGAAGGCACTTGTGAGAGGACAGAGTGGTAAGGGCTGGACAGCTGACTGGTAGCTCTCACAGGAAGCATTCTCTACTGAGACACGCAAATGCCGCAGAAGCCGAGGCGGGTGGTCCACTTAACGGATGACTACCAAACAGGAGTGGGTAAGGGCCTTAAAAACGTTTATCTTGTTTTAATTATCAATTTTCCCTGCAGAAGCCTTTTAGCTGTCATCTCAAAAAAAAAAAAAAATACATTAGGAGCTACTGATTTAAATCATGTGTCCCTCATTAAGTTAACACTAAAAAGAATATGAATGTATTCAATACATTTTTCAAAACATCCAAGCCACTTTATGTAAAAAAACAAAAAAACAAAACAGCAACAAAAAATTACAAACCCAAAGATCTTAGTATAAAAATGTTGCATGTTAGTAACAATCCCCTTGCAACTTCTGATGGCTTCACAGATTACATCGTGGGCTTTGGTAAGAGATGCAAACGAATGCAAGCAGCAGCCAGGCCTTGGATAGGAATGTCCCCAACCAAAGCACCGGGGCAGGAGTGTTGGACGGACACAGCGGAGCAGGCGGGGTAAACAGGCGCAGGATGCCCAGCTGGCTCTCCTACTGCTTCTTATGCTTGCTTGGCTCCATCAAAAGTTTCTTTAGGGTCGTAGTCACGAAATAGGGTCTGGAAGGAGAGCCTTCGTTTCTTTCTAAGTCTTCCACTAGGAGGGAGGAGGGCAGAAGTCAATAGCACACAAAGCGGTGGGAGGAGCAGCATCGCCACCTGCTGCCCACTCGCTGCACAGCAACGCCAAACTTCGCTTGACGGACACCGTCAGCATCATTGTAAACAGCTATGGAAGACAATCAGCCCTTGTTAATACAGCGGTAGGATATCATCTAATCCTGTGTCCCAGGTCGGCTCTGGAGACAGTTCAAGCCTTCCCACGGAACGACTGAGGAAATAACATTTACTCTCCACACAAACTTACTTCCTAAATTACAACATCCCTTTCCAAATTGCCTTTGTTTTGCCAATGACAATTTAGATCGCAAAACCTTGACAAAATGGTCTTTATGTGTAATCTCAAACACTTCCTTGGACAGTTCTGAAAATATTGCTCTGCGTTTTAAAAACTTTTAGTTGCTGTGTAAGAAAATGGCTTCTAAAATTCTTCTAAAAAGAAAACAATCGCTTTTACGCTATACCTTTTAATTACAGAAGTAATACACAGAGACTATTTTTTTTTTCTGAGCAGGAATAAACCATAACACAGCAAAATGACAGCTACTTTCTTACATCTGATCCACAGCTAATTTTGTGTGTAGCCGAGTCAACTAAATGGTTTTTATCACAATCCAGCGAGTGGCCCACATTCAATCATAAGGTCCTGGGTACGGCGGACACTAGTAGATGCCACATTCTTAAACGTCTTTGTTGAGGTTCTTGCATGGTTGAAAACAAAACACTACCAAAACTCAAGGAAAAGGTAAGCGATGGCTTTTCCCTACCCTATCAAGGAGAGAATGAAGAAGGCTCTTTGCCAAGGGACATTTGGGGCTGTGACTTCAATAAAGCATGCCAAGAACAAGCTGCTGGCTGTCATGTGGACCGACACATTGAAAACCTTCATAAAACTGTTCTAGATCTAGGATCACACAGTGCAGGACAGGTAAATAAATTAGCATTTATATTAACTTACAACTCAAGGATATGCTCCAGACTCTCAAATGTGAGGGCCGTCTTGATATCCACACACTCCATCATTAATATATAGACAGTCTGATATGCGTTTAGCATCAAAACCAAGGGGGCACTGATTAATCCCGTGCTCTTTGGAGGGGCTTTTTATAACTAGCCACCTCCAAACACAGGGAAGAAGGAACAGGCAAGGTGCATGGGTCCAGTTCACACTTTTCTACACCACGTGAGGTTTAGGCATGGCCACAATAATAAGCCAGCTTCCTCCTCTCTAAGCCCCGGGGTTGTGTGGGGGTGGGGGGAGGTTTTCCAATGTGAAGCCAGGAAAACATCCGGCGTGGTACCCGATAGAAGGCCACTAGTCTATTTCCCTAGAGTGAAGTCTGAAGGGACCCATCTGCTTTCTTCCTTCACTGAAAGCTGAACTCAAGCACTCTGCAGAGAGAAGTCACGAAGATGAAGACACAGGCATGTGCCCAAGGCAAGGGGAGTTCCACGTGCCTTCTACATGCTTGGAACGAGGAACTCAGGCTAAAGGCCAGAGAAGAGCAAGGTGGCAGCCATTTCCGCTCTGTTCAGAATGTTCTCGGAGTGGCCAAAGGTTCACAGTAATGGGAACGGTATTTCCAAACCTAGATTTGAGCCTCAGTTCACTGAAACAGATGGACCATGAGGGCCTCAGGTTCACTTCCCCTGGAGCAGTACAAGCTTCATGGGACATGGGACCCACACTTTACGTGCCTGTCACGGACTAACTTGCCCACCTGAAAGAGGCTTTCTAGGGAACCAGGGTTACAAGGTGAATCACAGTTTTAAAAAGAGCCGTTCACCGGCTCAAACAGTAACTATGGACATAGCACCATATTTACAAACTTAGTACCATTCGCTGGTCAACTACAACTCAATGTTTTTATGGCTAATTGATCATACATTTATAGTCTTGCTAAGAAAAAACTGCCTGAATATAATATCCTTTACAAATAACACTTATAAAAACGAAAGGCTAGCAAAGTTATAAAAGTTATTAAAACATTGTCAGCAACAGGTTTTTGCAGTTGGGACCACAGTCTATAAAGTAAATTAGGCCACCGTCAAACGCCCGATCCGTCAGCTGGTACCAATTGTGACCTTTTCAGAGACAGCATGGGACTTGCACACTGTTCCGAAGCAATCAGCCTAAGTCACAAGACTCCTGCTGGGAGCTTTTCTACTCTCTCTGCCTCTGGGGAATTGGACGCTTCTTGGTCAGAATCCTGTGCAGGCTGGGAGTTACAAAGTAAGGTTTCTCTGGGGACCCGTCATTTCTCTCCAGATCTTCACCTGTGTATCAGCAGCCAAGGCAGGGCACAGGCGGGGGCCGCCGCAGAACAAGGACCCAGAATTTTACGGATTGGAGAGATGAACAGGGAGAGACCAGAGAAATCAGTGTTAGCATGTCAAACACAAGGTGAGCAGATGCAAAGCTGGGGATGGAGAAAGCGGCACCTGGCCTCTGCCTGAAGCACAGTCCCTGTGTCCCTCAAACGCGCCCAGGGGCCCTGGGGCTTTATCTGTGGTTACCACGGTTATTAGGAAGCTCTTCCCGTGGTTCCTAAGTATTACTTTATAACTCTAACTTCATTTCAGAAAGTGACAAACGCCACACATCACCAACTCCATGGAAAATGGAAAGATTTAATTTCATACATAGCTCAGGACTTTACTTTTGCGGTAAGATCTTGCTTGCTGTGTAGCCCAGGCTGGCCAGGAACTGGCCGCCCTCTTGATGTCATCTCCCATCATGGGGGCTAATGGCTAAACTATTTTAGTTACTTGTGTGGGGAGCATGTATGTGGGTGCACACATGGAAACTGGAAGTCAACCTCCTTGGGTATCATTTATTCCTCAGGAGCTGTCTGCCTTCCTTTCTGAGGTGAATCTGCTCACAGGCCTGGGGCTGGCCAATCAGACCAGGCTGGCTGGCTGGTAAGCAACAAGGACCCCACTGTTCTGCCTCTCCAGCGCTGGGACCACAAGAAAACACCATGATGCCCAACTTTTTACATGGGTTCTGGAGACTGAACATGCTTCTGTGGCAAGCATACTACTGACAGAGCCATTTCCTTAGCCCTAAAGTCATTAAAATTATTTTATTGGTGTGTGTGTGTGCATGAGTGTGTGTGTGAGTATGTGAGTGTGTGTGAGTATTTGAGTGTATGTGTATGTGTATGTATGTGTGTATATGTGTGTATGCATGAGTGTGTATGTGAGTGTGTGTGCATGTGTGTATGCGTGTGTGTATGTATGTATATGTGTGTGTGAGTGTGTGTGTATATGTGTCTGTATGTTTGTGTGTGTGTATGTATGTGTGTATATGTGTGTGTGTATGTGTCTGTATGTTTGCCTGTGAGTGTGTGTGAGTGTGTGTGTGTGTGTGGAGAGGGGTATGTGCACATGACTGCAGTTGTCCAGAGGCCAGAGGTGTCTGGTTCCCCTGGAGATGTAGTTATAGGAGTGTATAAATCACCCTTCATGGGAGCTGGGTGTCATTGAAAATCTAAGTCCAATCTCCTGCAAGAGTGTATGTTCCTAACCATCAACCCAGCCCCGTTTTCCTTAGTTTTGTATTCTAATTGTGTTCATTTATTTATGCATATGGGCATGCATGTGTATGTGCCTATATTCATGGACCACATGTGTGATTCATGTGTGATGACGAGAGGACAACCTGCAGGAAGCAGTTCTCTCTTTCCACCACGGAAGTGGTGGCTTGAAGAGGCATTGCCCCCCGCCAACTCATGTGCTTGCATGCTTGGCCCACAGGGAGTGGCACTATTTGGAGGTGTGTCACTGTGGAGGTGGGTGTGAGGTCTCATATGCTCAAGCTAACCAGTGTGGGAGGCAGTCCCCTCCTACTGTCTGTGTCTCAGGGTCTAGATCTCTCGGCTCCTTCTCCAGCACCATGTCTGCCTGCATGCTGCCATGCCCCACGGTGATGAGAGCAGACTGAACCTCTGAAACCGGAAGCCAGCCCCAGTTAGATGTTTTCTTTTATAAGAATTGCCATGGCCACAGTGTCTCTTCACAGCAACAGAGACTCTAACTAAGACAGTGGGGTCTTGAGCTCAGGTCATCAAACTTGGTAGAAAGTAAATCCACCAGATAGCTATCTTTTCAGGTTTCTTTTTCCATTTTCTTAAATAAATCCTAGGCAAAGATTACATTCCCCAGGTCCATGTAAGCCACACAGGATATCTAGGATTACACTTCCCTGGTCCACGTAAGCTAAAAGTGCATAAAGCTTTCAGATTTCTTTGTTTGCTGAAAGCTGATTTTAAAATGCCTAGAAAAACACCGAGCCATGTTATTTTCTAGATTTTCCCCTTCAGCAATTATCTTCCATCCAGATCTGCCGCCAGTCTTCGACAACAGACTTCCTCAGGAAGTAAGTCTCCTCTGCTTGCCTCTCTGAAGACCCCGCATGACGAAGTCGTTACCTCTCAGGCCCAGCGTGGCTACTGGGTTCTGGTCTCTCTCTTGCTGACCCCGCCTCCCCCTGGTTTGCTAGGGATGTGAGGAGGGAAGCATCTCAGGGTAACGCAGACTTCCTGGGATGCTTTGGGTCAGGGGCTGATAGAAAGCATCCATTCTGTGTGTGTAGGTGGCACATACCCTCCAGGGCATGGTGTTGGTGACAATACTACAGGGCAGGCTTTTAATGCTTACTCTGCTCCAAGCCAAGCTTGTCTACTCATAATGGTTCACTGCATGTGCCGACACCATGTCTCTTTGAAACCTTTGCATCTCGACTTTACAAGAGTCCGTAACCATGAGCTCTCATTTAAATCCTACAGTAAAATAGGGATAGAGCTTAGAGTAATTTCCTAGACAGACAAGGGCTTTGATTCAATCTGTAGAACCACACCACCATGACCATCTCCATCACCACCACCACCATCCTTCTCTAGCTCACTCTCTCTCTCCTTTTCCTCTCTCTCTCTCTTTCTCCCATCCCCTAAAACAGAAACGAAAAGTATCTACAGATAATGTACCCTTCCAAATACATGCTGCTTTACACTTGAGGTCAAGTAACAGTAACTCTCCAAGCCAGGTAGCCAACTGAGTTTTACATTCCCTTCTTTCAGCTTTCCATGACCACACACACTGTATACTTACAGAAGCAGATGAAAATGGTTTCAATACACATCGAATAGACACTGAAGAACCCATGAGCAATCAGGTAGGATCCAAGCACAAGAGTCTGTGAACAGACAGAGAAGAGGACCAGCACATTACTGATGTCACTCAGAACAATAATAACGCAACTGTAAGTTGAAGGCAGGACAAGGAGGCTGATGGGAGAGGTCATTCTGTATATGTCTCTCATACTGGTTAATGAGTAAAGCACTGTTGGCCAATAGGAAAGCAAGATAGGCGGGACTAGGAGACAAGGAGGAAAGAGGAAGTAGTAAGGAGGAGTCAAGATGGAGAGTCAGGAGAAAGCAGTATGCCGGCCAGCTCCCTGGTAAGAGAAATACATAGATCAGCAGAAATGGGTTAATAATTAAGGCAGAGCTAGCCGATAAGAAACAAGTAACTGGGCCAACAGCATTGTATCAAATAGAGTCTCTGTGTGTTATTTGGGGCTGGCGTGGCGGCAGGACAAGACCAGACTGGCGGCGGGCAGAAAAACCATACTCGTTACAGGAGGCAATAGAGGACTCTGTACTGGGGACATCTGCAATGAAGACACCTTTGATTTTATGATAACATGTCCCGAGACAAAAAAAAAAAAAAAAAAAAAGTACCTACCCAAAGAGCGTCAGCTGTGGCAGGAAGAGTCTAAGGGGTTAAGAGCATATACCTGAGTCCCCAAAGCCTCAAAGTCACTCAGCCCCGCTGTGCCTCTGCTCTGATGCTGGGGAAGAGAAGCGTTTATTCCACACAGACTAGGAGAGCTAACTCATAACTAGATCCAGCTCCTGCCTGCTTGTCTATCCGTTTGTCTCCGGTGACTGGGAATGTCAGCTACAGAGAACACTAAGGCACTTCTCTGCATAGACATCCGTTCCCTTTGGGGAACTACTTCATCCAAGTCAGGGCCCCATCTGAGTTGCTGCCATGATTCACAAGACCGGCTTCTTTTCCTGAAGATCATGATATCGTTATTATGTCTGGGGACACAGCAGTAGGAGCATTGTGGGCTGGCTTCTGTTGCCTTGCCCAGCCCCCCTTATGTCCTTACGAATGTAACTCATGGACGAGCAGCCAGCAAACCTTCTGCATGCCAGCTTATCAGCAGGGCAGTCCTTTCCAAGGAACCGGACATCAAGAGCTGGAGACACAGATTAAGACCAATGACATTTGCCTTTGCTGTCTGTTTCCTTTTGCATTTACGCTCCCATCTCTTCATAAATCACGACGTCACTGATGCTAAGCATCCTTAGACTGAACTGTCCCCCAGCCAGCATTCTTACACTAAAACTACAATCCCCCGTGTGACAGAACTGAAGAGAAAGGCTATGGGAAGAGCTATGGGAAACACGGAGGTCACAGTGGTAACACCTTTATATGGGGACCGTGCCCATCCATAAAGAGACTTGGCTTTCTCTCCAGCATGTGGTGTGAACAACCAACCTCTGCTCAACTGGCATCTCCAAGCTTTTCAAATTGTGACAAATACAATCCTATTGTCAAAGCCACTCATCCTATGTTGCTTTAGTTAGTGTTCCCAAGTGTCTAAGTCACCAATGCTTACCAGGAAAGGTACCCAGTAGTAATTTAAAGTTGTTGGTCCTTCTACAATCCTTTGCAGTCTCTCTGTGAAGAGTAGGAAGGCCAGGAGACCTACGTTGGAAAAGTGGAACACGGATGTCATACACTGAGATTTTTGTCCATGTCATACATGGAGACTTTTGTAGCACAGCACTTTCCGAGCTCCTGACAGCTTTGAATCCATGTTATCATTGTTACTCACCTACAATCCCAGAGACTAGGATTTTCCCCAGGAGTAACACAAAGTGCGTGACTTCATCGGTCACCGCAACTCTGGGAATCAAGAGGAAATAAGAACGTGCAATCAGTTCAGTGTTTGGTGCACTCTGTGCTTGATGAATGCACGAGGTAGAGAGACTCACGGGCTCACTTTCCCATGCATTTGGTGAAATTTTGTCAAGTTCAAATGCAAGAAATTAGCATGGAAGCCAGACACAGGCTCTTATTTCTAATGAGGCCCACAGAAAGAGTCACTGTGGGACCCCAGGGTAATGGACAATGGGGGTGTCTGGTTCTGTCTCACTTCCTAAGGTGATGGGCCAGCTGGAACCCATCTTAGATGGAAACCATTTTGTTGTAATATCAGAACAAGTCCATTTCTATTTACTGTAAAACTCAAGTTGGCCTGGAATTTGACATGCTCCCAACACCCTCAAAAGATAAACTGTTCTGCCAAATAACTTTGAAATATTAAGCCAAGTTCCTACATAACCTAAATTCCTCTGGAAATCCTCCAACCCTTGAAAAGCCGTAGCCCTGCAGACATTTTGGACTATATAAACCCCACCTTCTCCCGTGTTTGGTGCTATTTTTCTCAAGCCCCTCTTTAGGGAGCTAGCCTTGTCTGACAGAAAATAAAGGTCCCTTAACTTGGGTACAGGTTTTCACAGTCATTTGGTGGAATTAACGAGGGGACTCTGGATCCTGAGCACAGTGACTGTGTTCTCTGACTCTGAACACCCATTTCCCAACGTTTTTGAGAGGTGGAACCTGGCATCAAGGAGATGCTAATGTAAGTCACCTGGAAAACTTCTTAGGCGGAAAGGATAATAAAAATTAAACATGTAGCCACCTAGGTAGAAGAAGGGAACTAAAACTTTGAGATATGAACAGAAATGAATGTTGAGTGTAACGTTGGAATGTAAAATGAAATGTAAAAGAATTAACATTTTTTTTTAATCTATCAAGCTAAAAGGTAACATCCATGTCTGATAAGGCCAGCAACACTTGGGGTAACCATAAGCAAAGGGTGTCAGGTCAAGTCTCACCAGATTGTGTTCAGACTGATTACTTACTTCAGAATGTTCCTCATGAGCAGATTGAAGGCTTCCTTTGTCGATGCACAGAAGTTTTTACCATATAATGCGATCTGGAGATGATGGACGCTCTTGTTAGCAGTGCAGACCAACAGCCCCTGGGACCACCTTCCACACTAATAACCCTGACCTCTTTCTAACATTAGGGTTTTGGGATGCCTAGGAGCTCTCTGTCCTTGACACTAAGGGGCTTGCCAAGTGTGTATGCAGAGGCAGGCCTTTTCCTCAAGTCTCAGATGAGGGGTTCTAGCTTTGAATCATGCGGCTGTAGTGGGTGCTAAGTGGATTGAATATTGTCATCACATAAAAAGTTACTCCTAAGGAAAGCCAATCCTTTCTACAATGAGGATTTACTGACTAAAGGGCGCAGCACACTCTCTCTCTGTAGATACATTGATTCTTCGATTCCTGTCTACATGAATCCCACCTCCAGTCCCTCCCCATGTGATGAATCGCAAGCACTGTCAGACGGCAGCTTCTGCATTTTGAGGGAGCTTTTTTTCCTGTCTACTATGTAAACACAATTCTTTAGAGGGTTCCACGTTCTCACAGGAAATGAGTTAGAGATCTGCCCAAGTGTTAGCACTGCTTACTCTGCTTAAACCAAGGTTCATTGAAATGACTAGTCCCTTCATTAGAATTACGTAAATCCCTGTTAGGAAGCAGTTTCTTCCCTGAAGGGACTAGGAGCAACAGCTTCCCTCTTACATGATTATCAGATACACAGCAGCATTTCAATCTACCACACTCCTGCTTTTATAATTTTAAAATCTAATTACATTTATGTGTGCGTGCGTATGTGTGCACGCGTGTGCACACAAGTGGGTGGTGTGTATATTTGTGTAAGTATGTGTACTATGTGTAAGTATGTGTACATGTGTGTATGTGTACATGTGTATGTGTACATGTGTATATGTGGGTGTGTATGTGTACATGTGTATGTGTACATGCGTGTATGTGTGTATACGTGTGTGTGTATGGGTATGTATGTATACATCTGTATGTGTACGTGTGTGTATGTGTGTTTGTGTGTATATGTGTATGTGTGTGTATACATGTGTGTATGTGTGTACATGTGTATGTGTGTGTTTGTGTGTATATGTGTGTATGTGTGTATATGCATATATGTGTGTATGCATGTGTATACATGTGTATGTGTATATATGTGTATGTGTGTATGTGTGTATACATGTGTACACGTATGTATACGTGTGTGTGTGTGTGTGTGTGTGTGTGTGTGTGTGCTTACCCCACAGCTTGACAGTGGAAGTCATTGCAGGATCTGGTTCTCGCCTTCCACCCTGTGGGACCTAGGGTTGGCTTGGCTGGTCAGGTTTGGGAGCAAACACCTTTACCCTCAAAGCCATTTCTGGCCCCATAGCACACTTGGAAAATTTCAACACAAATATTTCCTCTTAAACGAGGTATCAAAGGTACTAACGTCTCAGAAGAGTGTATCCCTGACTCCTGTGTGTGAGCCGCACACTCACACATCACAGGAAGAGATACTAGAAAGCCCTCTGGGCTCTGGGGTAGACATGGGTCAACTGGGTAAAGCAGGGCACCACTTACCATGATATAGGCATTTCTGTTTAAGAACTTCACCATCTTCTCCAAACACCAGAAACAGCACCGTAGGCAGCGCTGCAGGAACTTGGAAACTCTGTTCTGTGCCTCTGTGGGAGGGGCATTTAAGTCCATTAGCAGCTCTCAACCTTCAGACCCAAAATGATGACATTAGAAATGGGCTTTACTACGTCTTTAGGATGTATATCTAATTGGCATTTTAGCTATTCTTCCGTCTACAATTTGGTGGCCTTAGCACATTTACAATGCTGTAAAATAATTTCACTATCCATCTTCATAAGCTCTCGTCAAATCAAATCAAATCAAAATAAATGCCCAATCAAACGTCACCCTTGTGACTTCCAGCCTCTGCACCGGAACGGCACAATTCGCAGCCTGTTTGTTGTGGTTGCTCTGATGGCCATGCTAACAGGTGTGAAGGGGCTTCCAAAGGTGTTGGTCTTGTGCGTCCCTGTATGATGTCACTTTCGGTCACAGCTGAGTGCTCTTGTCTCTGTGACACGTCCTCTCTGCTCCTCGGGCCACCTTTGAACTCTATTGCTTGCTATCGAGCGACAGGAGCCCTTGCATGTGTTTGGGACACCAGTCTGCTCTCCGTCGTGTTATTTGCGACTACTTTCCTCCACTATGTGGCTTGTCTCTTTACTCTGTAGTTCCTTTGACGCACAAGTGGTTTTGACTTTCACGAAGTCCAATTTACTTTTTCTCTCTTTGTGCTTTTGGTGTGAAATCAAGGAATTGCCATCAAATCCAATGACATAAAGATTTCTTTTTATGTTTTTCCCCCCTAAAAGCATTATAGAATTATCCCATGTGTTTAGACCTTTGATGTGTTTTGGGTTAATTTTGTATTTACTGTAACTGTGGGTCCAACTTCGTGCATTTACATTTGTCTACTCCTATCTTCTTTTATCACCATTAAGCTGACTGGTCTTTCCCAATCAAAGAGTTTTAAATGTGAGAATTTATGTGTGGGGGTCCACGTGCTATCCCGGGAATATGTTCACTTGATCGCCAAACCATCCTCTTATGATGATGCTGTCATTTCATCTTAAATCAGGAAATTCAGTCAGGAAATGTGAGTACGCCAACTTTTTCTCCACTTGGTTATCTTATATGACACAGCATGAGCAGAGCCTGTGTGTGTGTGTGTGGAGTCCATGTGCTGTGTATGGAATGATGCACCATGAGCAGAGCCTGTGTGTGTGTGGAGTCCATGTGCTGTGTATGGAATGACACAGTATGAACAGTCTCTCTCTGTGTAGACTGCATGGTGTGAACAGAGCCCGTGTATGCAGACTCCATGTGCTTTGTATGGAGAGTGATGTCAGGGATGACTTAAGCCTGGAAAGTGTGGGACTGCACGTGGAACCTCTTTTCTATGTGCTCCTCCACAGTGATAGGTTAAGGCAGAATTCTTCAGTTCCTCTGGGATTTGCTTCTCCTGGATTCCACAAGACGAGCCGAGAGGTCACCAGACACTCTCCCTTCCCCCCGGCTCTCCCATCCCTCCTCTTGGTACCCAGCCCTTAGCAAGCTCCGAGCTGTTTCAAAGTATATTCAAATCCCTACCACCTCCATGTTTCCACCCTGATCCACAGGAGGCACCAGGTCACCTGCCCCCTCCACCCCCCGCCATCACGGAGGTGTATGATCAAGTCAGCAAGCTTACTTTTCAGTCGCCTGTCCAGGTACTCTGCGATCACTTTAAACACCTGAACTGAAGCAAGGATCAAAGATCCAAAGGCCAGAGACCCCGTGTGGTATCTAGGAGAGACAAAGCAGAAGGGAAGGCCGAGGGTTGCTCTGCGTGTACGGGTACCTCTTGAACAGTCTTATGAGTAAAAGGGGTCAGCAGAAATGAAGGGCTTTCTAAAACTCTCTTATTAAATTGATGGAGCTTTCCACACGAAGTCTGAAGCCAGTCATCTGTCTTGTCTCTATAACCCATAATAGGGTCTCTTAGAAGAGGACTTGGCCTGATCAATGGGGATACAATTCCTTTGGTGTCTGACTCTATTCCCTCTCATCTCTGGTAACCTATGGGATTTAGGACACTGGCCTGGGCAAGGGATTGCAAAGCTGGCTGTGCAGCTACTGGCAATGGGCATCTATGAATCGCAAATCATATTTTCAACTTGTTAGTACTTTGCAACTTGAACTGGCTAGGCAAAAGGAAAGAGCAGAGCACAAACTGTAAACGAAGGAAGGGGTACGGAGCTCAGTGTTGGACTTACCGCACTGCTCGTCCAAATGCGGTGAAAAGGGGGTACCTGGGGATGTCCTCGGGTTTTCTCAAGGCCCAGTAGTAAGACGCGAAGGCACCAGCCAGGGCGCACTGACCCAATGCAATGACAAAGTTTATAAGCCAGAGGAAGGCAAAGAGGTTGTAGATCTGGAAGGTCACCATGTAATTGTGATACTCACTCCTTCCACCATAGGAAACGAAGTTACATGACGCGCCGGGGCAGACATTGGGAATGTTAGTTCTAGGAAAAATCTGCACTCGGAAGAAAATATGAGAACGAGGTGTTGAATGTGGGTCTTATCTTTTCTTGTGGCCCAACTAGACATTCTGCCTTTTTTTTTTTTTTTTTTTTTTTTTTTTTTTTTTCATTACTTTCGGTTGTTTCTTCTCTGACATATTGATAGAGTTCTTTAATAAGTTTCAGAAAGGGCTTATTCTCACATGTGCATACATCTCTCTTACATTTGCTCATGGGGTCATCGCCACACTGCCTTCCTGAGTTTGCTACAGGCGGGTGAGCTCTGTTCTGCCTGCTACGTTCAATGCTTCCCGATGACACCTCCCTTTCTCTCCGCACCGATTTCTCCTGAATCAGCCTCATGATTGTGCTATGGCAGGATTCTTTCACTCACCTCTGGGTCACAAATTTCGTCTTCATGTATACATTCCCCCTCTGGGACCATGACTTTGAATATTGGTACCCCTGATGTAGCCAAGAAACTGAGCACACTTGATTAAGGATAAACTATTTACTGTTAAGTTAAAGACAAACGGACAAGGAAACCATAATCTGCAGGTAGTGGTGAAATCAGCTTTGAACGTCTTCTTCCCATGCTTTGACTGTCATCCTCTAGGAGGCTGATACTGGCGCATCATGGGTCAGCGGCCCTGAGAGGCCCTGAGAAACCAGTGGGGTATGGAGGACACGTCTTAGCTTATTGCCAAGACTGTGCATCAGAAGAGAATGGACCTCTGTGGCCCCTTTGGGGAGGGATTTAAATTTGATTGACTGATTTCAAGGCTTAGAACCTAATGCAGTTACTTCTTTAGGTTGTTCCTCAACTTAACAGGGATGAAAACCCCCGGACACGAGCTCTGGTCCCAAACAGCAAGGTAGACCCTAAAGATAAAGAAATCTGTTATCGGGAAATGGGAAGAGGGTCGGGCAAGGGAAGTGCACGTATGAGCAACGTGCAGTCACATATAGACAGAAGAGTCTTAATGAAATCTATTATTTTCCACACCAAGGGTCAGTTGCCAAAGGATACACAGCTGTCACAGCCCAGTAGGAAATGCAGATTGACAGCAAGATGAAAGTTAAAATCGGGTAGATTAACGTGCTGGGGATGTAGCCGATGGCTCTGAAATGAAGGAAAAGGAATCTGGATCAAATCTGTGCTTTCTCAATAAGTAAATGTCCATCCATGCGGAAGTAGACGCGAGACTTTAATAGTAGTAATCGCCACCGATGCTTCCCTCCAGTGATGTTTGCAGCACGTGCTGAGCTGGCTTTGATGTTCACTCTCATATTCACTTTAGGGTGGGTGTTTCCCAGTGCTGTGTTTGCCTCCTGCACAGACTCCCAGCCCCCCTTCCCTTCTGAGTGGCCAGCAAGGTCCTGTGATTTCTTCCCTGCAGCACTGGCCTCTGCCGCAGGCTCCGTGTGGGGAGCCTCCTTCTCTAAGATGCAGCTCACCCCACCCTAACTAAGTGTCAGATAGGCCATCCTCCTCTACCCTCACACCCACCGCTCCCGGGGAAGAGATGACTGTTTCCACCTCCCACAACATCGGAGGGACTTTTTAAGTAGGTGTCACCTCTAGGACATTTCCCCAGATGACAGTCCGAAAAGATGTCACAAGCAGCTTTTAAGTAGTTGCTTTTCAATGTCTCCAGAGTGAACACATTCCTGTTTGGTATTGTCCAGGAGAAATACCAAAGAAACCTCGCCACGCCAAAAGCACCTGCACACATGCCCTTGTTGGCCTGTCTCACTGCAGAGCTCCGCTGTCCTTCCTCTCTGCACACTCTGGATTTGAACTTTACGCTGAACACTTTAATTCCAGCTCTTACTTCCACACATTCTATCAGCCTGTCACAGTGATGCTGGCCCTTCAACACCACACACACACACACACACACACCACAGACACACACACACCGCAGACACATCACATACACCACATGGACACACATGCATACACATGTAGACATATACAGACACACACACACACCACACAGACAATACAGCACATGTGTACACATGCATACACACACACAAAACATGCATACACACGCATACACATACACACACACACCACATGCACACACACTCACACATACTCATACTGCACACACTCACAAACCACACACACACAAACACACATCTCACTCACACACTCACCTGCACAATAAAGGTTGTAACAAGTGAGTTAGGTTACAGTGAACTCCACAAGAACGTACCATGTAAGAAACAAATCCAGACAATCAGTAGTTTCCAGGGATAATGATAGGGCCTCATTTATTGTAAGGGGGGGAAGTTTAACCAACAGCTTGTTGGCTATCTAAACCACTGGCTTTGGGTGGCACTATTATTATAATAATATGGCAATTTGGTTAAATTAGTCCTTAAAGATAATTAAAAATAATTCAGTCCTTGGAGGTTAGCAACTTTGTTTCCACTGCTCCAAGCAGAGGGTCTGTGGCTTCCTGTGAGTGTTTTCCCTGCTCCTCATTCGCAACCGACATCACAGATTATCTCAAGTGACCTTTTGGAATAGTCTGGAAAACCATAGGTATTATTGAATTTTATAAAAGATGGTTTATTTTGCAACGCTTTTTAAAATAAGAGTGGCCCTGGGTATTAAGTGCGCCTGAATTAGGTGTTTTACATACAGAATGTATAGTCAGGCACTCAAGAATCAGCGCTTTGTCAAACAGGAAAACATATCATGCACACGCAATGCAGAGCGCACAATTGATACCATGGAATTACAGTGATTCGCAGTCCTGCAAATTCTCTCAGTCAGTAATATCAACACACAAGCCACCGCAAAATAATGTAACCCATGGTGCAGCCAGCTCCATGCAGTACTCCATTACGTACATGCTCAAGTGTGTGTACGGGACTAGATAGTTTGCATTGTGGTTTGGGAGGCAAAGTACTGGTTAGAGGTGGCCTTCACTGTCCAACAAGTGGCAACATCTGGACTTGAATAGGTGTTCTGAATGTCCTTCAGCTTCTCCCTTAGAAAGTCCTGGTGGTGGGCAGTGCAGGGAAGACGCTCACTTCGTGAAGGGCGTGCTGTGCAGCATGATGGCCCAAGTTATCTCCCAACACCCACTTAAAAAGCTGGCGTGGCATGGCGGCCCACACCTCTACTCCCAAGTGGGAAGGGGGTGGAGAGGGGTGCAGGAGCTTGCTAGCAAAATAAGTCTAGGGAGACAGTGAGGTCCAGATTCAGGGACATTCAGTCTCAAAACTAACGTGGAGCCATGTCAACTTCTGCCACCACACTAGTGTGGACACATGTCCACACACCCCCATGCACACACAAACATATGTGCACTCTTTCTCTCTCTCTCTCTCTCACATACACACGGGTGCACACATGCACCAGCACACACATGTCATGCACACACATACATGAGTGCACACACACACTCTCATGCTTACATATGCATGCACACACACACACTCATGCTTATATATGCATGCACACACAAGCATGCATACACACTCACACACGCACATACACACACGCACACACACACACACACACACACACACACACCACAGAGTTCCTGATATCTACCATGTCTGAGGCCTTACTTGCTTTTTTCCTTCAGTAGGATGATGCCCACTCAGATGCGCCTCCTGAGGAATGACACATGTACACCACGCGCACAATGCTCCCACACATGTACACACACACATATGCATGCACACGCACTCATACGTGCACACACACACGGCCTGACATCTGCTGTAAGCACTTACTTGCTCCCTTCCTTCAGCAGGGTGATGGCAATTCGAATCCGACTCCTGAGGAAGATCAGCACGATGATGATGATGGCTTCAATGACGCACAAGATGATCACTGAACAAGAAAATACATCAGTCTGAAGTACACGCCACACCAGAATCAAGCTTGGGACTGAGTTTATCCGACCATTTCTGCTAATCCTGATACTTCATGTCCTAATCAGTGTTTTCCTCCACCAAAATGCTAGTCTTGGAAACCCATTTTTCAACCCCTCCAAGAAGTGCTGGGAACACAGACTGGAGCCATGAATTGTTGGAGCCATGAACTGGCTCCATTTCACCCATGGAGACATCTCTCGTGCATCACAGATCTGGAAAGAGGCATGGAAGAGGGAAGGGAGGAAGGCCGCCTTTGCTGCTGAGGAAGGAACTACCAGAGAAGACAGTTTGTAAGGTGACCACACTGCCCGCTGTGGTGTCTGGCTCTCCATGCTTGTTGACTGACTGGGCAGAGAACTCACTGATGTTCTGTGTGACACTTCCCACAGCAGAAGCTATTAACAGAATGAAGGTGTAAATCCAGCTAAGCATGGACAGTAACATCTTAGAACCAAAACGAAGGGACACGGCTCGATTGGTAGAGCGCTTGCCTAGCAAGCCTGGCGCTCCAGGCTTGACCCCCAACACCATGTAAACTGGGAATAGGACAGAGGACACCAAGTGGAGGCGGAGGGTCATGGCTGTTCTAAACTCAGAAGCACGGAGGCCTCAGAAAACAAAACCACAATGCAAAATGAGAATCCAGTTTAGTGTCGAATTGAGATGTATAACTCTTGTGATTAAAAAAAATCCTTGAAGTCAAACACTATTGTTATATCTCCCCCCCCCCCATTCTAACACACACCTTTGAGTTACAATGGTGTTAGAAAGTGCCAACAAGCCCTTGATGTTTTCAGTGACTATCCAGTGATTGTAAGAGGCAGTCAAGCTGTAGAGATCTAAGAGGCAGAGAGTGTGGGATCCTAAGATTGAGAAAAGTTGGCACTGCTGTAAATGTATTAAGGAAACTCCTAGGCAGGCTGGACGCCACACCCTTGATTGCTGGGCAGCTGTTCTGTTCTAGGTGGACATTTTCAGGGGCAGAACATTCACTGCCTCCCACTGCCATCACAATCCTAGTTTACACTACACTTCGGGGAACATCTGTAGAAATCCGGTAACCCAAGCCATGGGAGGGACCCGATAATGAATCTTTGTGCATCCCTGTCTTCTCTGGTTAAACAACGCCGTTGCTTTTATAGGGATATCTTACTCCCTTAAAACGCTAATTTGAGCCCGCAACTGTGGAGCGTACTCATCTTCCAAAGTCATTTTCCTTGAACAAACCTAAGAAAATGAGATCATCAAAATTATTCTATGTTCTGAAATTCTGTATTCTGTATCAAAATCATTCTACATTCTGCAGTTTCGTTGTCAAAGAGTATTGTGTGCTAGACTTACACATTCATACAATGGTATGGAAATGGCTACATTGGAGAAACCTGACTTTCCTTTGAATTCACTCTCGTCTCTGCTTTTGAGTAAGAACACACAGCAGAAACATGCTTGATGTAAGTCAGGCACTGTAACAGAAGAGCAGATGCAGGCCTAGGGCTGAGACTTACCCAGGGTCAGAAGTGGAGCTAACTGCAAAAGCTGAAACTGAGCTATTGCCTATCGCAGCCCAGGGCTGATAAAATGGTCATTTGTAGATTTGTAAGTCTACTTGCTTCCAGGGTTTTTCTGAAGCCCTAACCCTTAACATGTATGTCCCGTCTTCCTGGTACCTCAAATTTTTCCCAACACAGTCAGGTATCAATCGATCTATCAATCTGACAGATGGGGACCTGAGGCCCATTCCAGAAGAGGCTGGTGTTGCCAGGCTTTTAAACATGTTAAAATGTTTAGAAGGTTCTGTAGCTTCCTAAAGGCAAGTGTTAATTTTCCAGTGCCAGGCACGGACTGACCATCTCCATGGCCTTTTTATGAGTGACTCTTCAAAGGCCGCCATCCAAGAGTGGCCAGCATGGGCATGTGTGTCTAGGCTCTGTCCCAGAGCGGCCTTAATGTGAATCCTGGGCAGCAGTGGTCTCCTTTGGAAAGGACCAGCAATGATTGTATGTGGATGCCCGAGACTGGGGGAGTCACCCAAATTCAGGGAAGGTGAAGGAAATGCAATTCCAGACTTTCCTAGGTAAAAAGAAAGTGACCACACCCATAGTTAAAAATAATGAGAACAAAGGCCGTCTTTGAGATGATCCTACTTTAGAAATTACTGGCAACCTTAAATAGCTCAATGCTCTCAGTTATTTCTCACAACTCCTACAATAAATAGTTTGAGTTTTTTCTATGAAAGTAAAATAAGTGTCTTCTTTCTTTTAAAGCAAGTTCACAAAAATCAGCCATTTCCTTACTTCTCAGATTAACATCAATCGAGTCCCCGTAGTCAAACCATTTTAAACTAAAGGGTTCTGCTGAAGCAGCGTTATCTTAGGCTGCACAATAAGCTCACAACCTTCCAGTTTGCAGCTTGTGGACATTCACAGTCATCGAGGAGAGACCGATGTATCCAGCGGGACGCACCAAACTCAAGCTTCCTCTTGGACAAACAAGGTTTCTCTCTCTGTGACCATCTTAACAAACCCGTCTCTTAAAATCTACTCACACATTGAGAACCACGTCTCTTTCAAGCGAAAGAGCATTCTGATGCTGGACTGAACCCCAATGTCGTCTATCATGATGGCTGACTGCGGTCTCTGCTCAAGGCCACTGTATGCCAGGTAACAGTACCATATTCCTGGAAAGGACGAGAAAAGAATCAACATCCAGTGTCATTTTCTGGAGTACGAGTCACGTGCTTATCACATCTACCTACATAAAAATGACAGATGTGGCCATGTCTACAAAACTAGAGCCATGTTTGGCCGCGATAGTGTAACAGGGTGCTACTCTGGCTGACAGAAATGCTTTCTGAATTTATGTGGCTTTCAATGCTCTCCTGGTGTGTATCAACCTTAACATCCACCAACAGGACTGTCTTTTTAAAACGCTACAGTACATTTTTCCTGAAGGGAAATGTGCTAGTACCCCCTTATTTATACTCAAACTTATTATTTGCTGGTTTATTTGTCTTGTTACTTCTATGAATCTTGAATCTCGAGAGTACTTTAATAGATGCATTCGAGTTTAGAATTTTGTTTTGGTGAGTTAGGCTGGTTCTGCTCCTAACGGCTTTATTTCAAGTTCTATTTTGTCCGATATTATTTTAGTTACCATAGATTTCTTTTTGTAACTGCTAGTTTTTAAAATCAACTCTTCCGCTTTTAACTGTTGTCTTATACACTCTGTAAAGTTTGTAAGTAACATACGGTTCCAAGTTGCATGTGCATATTTTAATCTTATGTTTCTGTTCTGCATTTAGTTACTTATATTCTTCTAGCCATTTATTTTCATAACACTGAGTAATCAAGTTCAAAGAGACTATTTAACGTAACGGCCTAGGTCATTTGGCGATCATCTCCATTTTCTGGTTATTTGTTCAATATCTTAGTTACATGCATTTTAACTTAAAAAAAAAAAAGTATCTTTTTTTTTTTTTTTTTTTTTTGAGACAGGTTTCTCCATGTAGTCCTGGCTGTCCTGGGACTCACTCTGTAGACCAGGCTGGCCTCACAAACTCAGAGATCCACCTGCCTCTGCCCCCTGAGTGCTGGTATTAAAGGTATGTGCGATCACTGCCCATCTCAAGTTCACTTCATTTTGCCTACTGTTTGCCAATTAATTTCCTTTGCTGGCTGTCATTAGCGAGTCTCACATTATAATGAGGAATCATTTTCCTTTCCTCTCTCCGCTGGGGCCATCAGGAAACACATCTGGTTACACATACAGCTGTGTTCAATGCTGCGTCCTTGGCAAGGGCTCACTGCATTCTGACACATGGACAGTAGCCTCCCAACCTATGTGATTGTTTCTGTCCTTGTCTAACTTAACACGGGGACCACAATTATCGTCATGTCCCATCTCTCCTCTGCTCAGAACCATGCACAGCCTGTCTGCTTCACTCCAGGAGAATGTGTGGCTCTGATGGGCTGTGAATTCTATGACCGCACATCCTCCCACTCTCCCCTTTTCGCAGGATGCCCGCCTACTCAGCCTCCTAACCATTCCTTCCGCATGTGGTTTCCCCAGGCCGTTGCTGGAGTTGCGCCCATGACTACAACTCTCCCTTGTTACCACTTCATAACCATATTGTTTCCTCCAGGGGTTCTCACATCTGTCTTCTCACAAAGACCCACCTTGGCGCTGGGGGGTGTAGCTCAGTGTAGAGGGCTCGCCAGACAACAACAGCAGCCGCAACAATGACGCTAACCCTATCTCTCCTGACAGTAGTGTCCACTCCTCAGCCTGCATCACATGCTGCGTCCACCTGACATACTTCATGCTTTTCCCTATAGCAACCAGCACCTTCAAATACACAGCATACTTCACTACAAGCTTGAAAACAGTGAAGACCTTCAGTTACATGTTACGTGTCCAGCACAATGTGTGTCATAATTACTCAACTGGTATTTGATGAAATATGCATAAATGAACATCTCCCTGGTCCTTATTCTTTCTCTGTCTTATCCACACAGCAGTATTTTTGTTTAAATAATTCTCCAAGATTCACTAATTTCAGTCCATTGTTTCTCTATTTTGGCATTTAATGTACCTAATTGTGTGTGTGTGTGTTTGTGTGTGTGTGTGTGTGTGTGTGTGTGTGTGTTCATGCATGTGCCATATCACATGTGTGGAGATATCGAAGGCGTTGTGGAGATTATTCTCTCCTATGCCTCCATGTAGGGTCCAGGGATAGAACTCAGCTCGCCAGGCTTGCAGAGCAAGTGTTTATCACGGAGCCATGCCACAATGCTTTGATTTCATTTTTAATCTCACTTTTTTTTTTTTTTTAACTTGGAAAATTCCATTTGGTTCATTTCCACCCAGGCATCTCTGTTACTGTCTTAGTTTTGTGATTTCATCCTTCACTCATTAAACACTTTATACATATCTATTTTTGCATTTTCTACAACTGGATTTATTGCACATTTCAATTTGACATTGATAGTTCCTGTCCATATCCATATCTGACTCCTTCCTGTGATGTTGATGTTGAGTTGAGGGCACTTTTGTAAACTGAGGGTGATTCCTTCTGTAAAGGATTGGCATTTGCCCTGGTAGCGGCCCAAGTGCACTGCCAAACACAGGCAGCATCTGGGTCTCTTTCGGGATCCCAGGTCGGCCACGGTCATGAGAATGTACTGCCTTTCACCGTCTGTTCATCTTGGTGAGAATCTTCCATTATTACACACACACACACACACACACACACACACACTCTCTCTCTCTCTCTCTCTAGACTGTTAATCCACTCAATGTGACACACCCACATTATTCTATGCTTTTGTAAATTTGGCACTATCAATAAGATGTTTGCTTTCTTTTTTCATCACTGTAAATAACCAGTTGTCCAAAATAGCCAGAGGCCAGTCATGTCCAGTTACATCTGCATACAGTTTTCAACCTAAATGGACGTTTTCTCGCTGTGAATGGCTTTGAGCTTAATTGCCATTCACTTATTGCTGGGTTAGCACTGCCTCGGGAGTCAATAGGCAGCCGAGACTGATGGCTTTATTTGTGCTTCGTAGACATTGTCCGTCTCTCCCTTTGCAGTCGAGGCTGTTACAGCCAATCTGAGCTCTCTTGTCGCTTAAGAGAAAGTCGGTGAAATCAATGGCAGACTCCATCGCCCTTCCTGCAGTGATGGGAAGGAGACACTGGACCATAACCTGGACTCTCCGGTGGAAATCACACAAAAAACTAGGGAGTTCCCAGGCTCCTCCACCAGAGCAATGCCTGCTCACCTGCTGTGCTGAGGGCAAGAGGAGATGGGGGGGGGGGGGCTGGAGTGTCCACCGGAAGCTCTTTAGTACCTGAGCCAGATTACTGTGTCTGAACTCAGTTCTGAAAGCCTGAGAACCACACCGCCTCTCTTCTGGGACGAAGAGTCCACCTCCTGACTGATGATTCAGATGTGGGAGCTAGGTGTTGAAATCATAACTATGTCTTCCACAGTTACTCAGTTGTACAGTATGCAGCTGGGTTATAGCCAAGGCTAGACACTGAACATGAACCTGCTCACACTTCCTGTATAACGTGTGCAAACCTGCTTAAGTGGCAGGAACAGGAGCTGGTTATTTTCGGCGTCTACTACTAGAAAGACTATGTTACCAATCCATGTTGTATTGTGGGGGGTCAAAATCATTCCTTTGAATATAAATTGCCCTATGCTGTCCCATCTGCTGTTTAGACAGCCAAAAGCAAATGCCCATAATGTTATTCATCCCAGTGGGAGGCACTGGAATTCCTTTATTCAGTGTTTACACCAGGCCTGGTGTACACAGCTTTTGGTGAGATCGAACTTTTCATCCAATGAGTGTGATTAATTTAGTGTGACTGCCTCTAGAGGGTGACGCCTCACTGTGTGGCCCGACTGCTAAAGAGTGTGATAGCACCCGATTAAAAGTACTATCAAATCTGATGGTAAAATAGCCGAGCTATGCGGCTGTGCAGACCTGGTCGCTGATTGATGGACAAGTTACAGGGCTGGGGTGGAGTGTGTATGTGTGTGTGTGTGTGTGTGTGTGTGTGTGTGTGAGAGAGAGAGAGAGAGAGAGAGAGAGAGAGAGAGAGAGAGAGAGAGGGAGGGAGGGAGAGGGAGAGGGAGAGAGAGAAACTTCTTGAAATGCTTCCATTAATCTAAATGGATCTTTTCTGCTCCTTCCCATCCCCATCGTGCCCGAGACCAAAGGCTGCTAGGGAAAGAAGTAGAATTTTCTTATGTAACTTTTCTCAGGATAATGCCAAAAAGAGTTATGTGAAATTAAATAAATGTTGTAAAGTTAATGATCCAAAGTAATTAAGCCCGAGGCAATTATTTTCCAGTAAGTGCTAATGACTGACGAGGAAGCGTTCTGACATTTGGCAGTTTTAAGAGTTGTGTTACCTACCATATCCTACAATCCCAAGCACACCAAGCATGAAGACCCAGAAGAGGAATCCAGCTGTGAACCTCAGGAGGATCAAAAACGTCCAACTCAGTGCCATGGCAACCGTCAGGCCACTGGAGGCAAAACCCACAACAAACAGAGTCAGGTATGCTAAGTGCAGCATTATGCCAGCATCACCATAAGAGCCTTTTCTGTTTGACATCATTCTCAAATATTCTACTTTACCTGGCCGGAGTAGCGCATATGGTTCTGAGAAGTATAAACAATGGCTTCCAGTTAGAATTCCCCATGATAGGGGAAGTGGAGAAACCGGGGAGCACTTTACACCCAGGACATCTTGTGCATCTACAGAAACCAGACTACCGCAGCCTATTCAAGGACACGTGCGGTCCCCCAGTTCACAGCTGTGACCCGTCGGTAACACTTTCCAAACTGCGCTTTCTTCCCTCACGCCCTTCTACATAGTGGCAAATTATAAGAGCGAGCTCGCGGTGAAACTGTGATAAGCTGGTGAGTACGGGAGACGTCCCAGAGCACGTTATTTGTAGAAAGGTGAAAAAGACCAAAACTATGCATTTCCTGAACTGGTGACTTCGCAGTCATTGTCACACATACATTATTTTGACCCCATCCAACTTCTATTTGGGATCCCAAGGGATCTGGGTACACGACCTGCAGGCAAGATACATCTCCTGGCTTTTTCAAGCATAGAGAGTGAATGTTTTCTCTCTGCTTTAGTGCTGGAAAGTTGACCTACTCTCCTACTAATTCCTGACACCCGGGATGAAATCTGCTAGCTGCCAGTCAGCACCAGACAGGGGGGATCGAGTCTCAGATGTCCTCTTTTAAGGTGACCTACATAGTATTTGTCGCGGGATGGATAACAGTGTGGTATTTAAGTTCCTTCTTGGACAGAGAAGGAATTTCCCTCCTGAAATTGTAGAAACTTCAGTGAGTAAACTTAAATACGGCTGAAGGGTTGCTCTACTGCATGACCCAAAGGGGATTCTTAAATCAGTATTTATGAAAGATCTTGGAGCAGAGAGGCTAGAAATAAGGGGAGGGGCTTAGGGCCCAGGGGCAGGACACAGATTTAGTGTGAGTTTGGTGAGTTGAGTTCAAGGAAGAGCGGATAGCAACGAAGGCAACAAGACTAGAAGGAATTACCTGGCGACATTTGTTTATGGCCGTGGGAGCCCATTTAAGTACTGTCAAGTGCAGGTTGCAACCTTGGTTATGGAGTCATTGCAGGCAGAGCAGTGAAGAAGTAAGACCTCACAAGGGTAACTGGCTCTAAGCCTACAAAAGTTATTTATTTATTTTTTTTTTAGCATTCCACTCATAACACAGTGTCAAATTTAGCAAATTCCCTGTGCTTGAAGACATGGCATCTAGCTTGTCCCACACCTTCTTCTGTAACTGCCTCTGAACTCACATTTCTGTGTACCTACTATGTTTTAAGAACCATACTGTGGGCTAGGGAGATAAAGATGAGTTGGACACAGTTATCATCCTAAGGAGCTGATAGTTTAGCTGGGTATGGAAGTCCACACAGCTAACCCCAGTGTGTGAGAGATAGATGTAGGAAGATAAGGAATTCAAGGCCAACCTTGGCTACAGGAGACACAGCCTCAAAACAAACAAACAAACAAACAAACAAAACCAAAAAGGAAAACAGAACAAGACTTGTCAGTTTATCGGAGGAAAGAATCAGGCAAATAAAATATAGCATGAAAGATGTTGTGTAGAAGAGAAGTAGCTATGCCCATAGAGGTATGTGCACATGGACAGTGGGTAGGATGGGTAGGAGGAAACAGAGGGAAGTCATTTATCATGGAAAATAATAAAAGTTTTGTAAGTGGGAACCAAACCGTGCCCACCTCTGTGACACGTGGAAAGCAGGACACAGGACCCCAGACACTGTGGCAGGGACTTGGTATACACACTGGTTCTACTAGTGAATGAATATTTAACTTGAAATGTATGCTCTTATGGGTATACTTTCAAATGTGCCCCATGTGAAATGGAAAGTGATCCTGAGACCCGAGTTCACTTTTCACCCTTTAATAAGAACGAGGGAGCTGAAAAGTCTACAGAGGTCATTAGAAAGAATCTAGAAAAGACTTGTAGAGTCTCACTCACATGAGAATCCATTTCCACGTGGTTGCGTAGTCCTCAAACACCTTCAGTCCAATTGTCCTGGCATCAAGAATTTTACTGATGCCGCTGAGTTCAGTGAAGGAAAAGTCAATTATTTTTGGTTAATATTAGGAAAAAAACAAAACCTTCTTGTGATAAAAAAGATTTTGCAAGATTCTATTCCAGGCATGCTTTCAGACGGCGTCTGCTATAGTGACTCTCTCACTAGCCACAACAACCTATCAAATGTCTTCAGGAAGCCCGCAAAGGTAGCTGCAGTCCCATATACAGAGGAGCTGGCCATCAGAAACAGGGCTGGGTTCTTACAGAGCACGCATCACCTGCCCTCAGCATTGTGGAAGCTCACCCCCCCCCCCCCCCGCGAGAGGCAAACTCTAGATCTGACCGCGTGCATGATCCTAATCCCTCTCCCCTGCATCTCTGTCACGTGGCAGAAGCATGGAAAACAGGCCAGAGTATGAACAGATCATGTCATGTGTCTGACCTGATGGGTGGTCGAGGTGTACACACAGAACAGCACCGTCAAATCTTCCCTACCAGCCCCCAGCACCACATGCTCCTCCTCTAAAGTAGCCACTGCCCTGCTACTGCGATACACGTACATACATCACAGACAACTGATTTTTGCTCTGTGTTTTGTGTCCTTGGAGTCATATGTGTATCATTGTTTTATAGGTTTCCACAGAGCTTCATATTTCTGAGGTTCGTTCGCATTGCTATTAAATCCTAAATATGAAGGGGGGGGTTACTGTGCCACCTGTACGGTTGATGTCTTTTAAGAAGGAGAAACCGTTTTTCGGGGTTCCTTTAATTTTGTTTTTAACTCTGCCAGTGAGCTACGAGAGGGAAGTGTCTATGCCTGTGCACCCGTGAATGGGCATGAGTTTCTCAACAGCCTAGGCTCCCGAGTGCCACACACAGCCAGACAAACAGCAGGAGACTGGTGTGTAGACTCTGAGCTGGCCACAGCACCTTTCCTCACGCCAGATCTGCACGTTTACCGATAAGGGAAGGTTTAACCACTCTGACAGATGCCGATCTTTCTAACCTAGAGTGGTATGTGTACTCCATCCTACCACATAAGTGGTTTCCTGTAACTCCGAGTGGTGCCTTGATGTTTTACATAATAACAGGGCGCATCAGAGCAGCGCAGAAACGTGAGCATACTTTGTGGCCTCCCTGAGTTCTATGACATTTCTGGTGTTCCCACTCCCATCTTCAAGTTCCGTCCTGCTTCCTAACGTTAAGGTTCCGTTGATGGTTGAGAAGTCAGGCAGACATCTCTGCAGGACTGTAAAAGAGAATGAAAAAACACAGAAACACCTTTTTACTAGTAGTCTATTCTTTAAAAACCGTCTGTTATCTACAGCCAGGCTCCTGCTGGGTGTGACATGTGCCCAGGACAGATAGCTAATCACCCTTTATTGACATCGTCAGGATGTTTTGCTGGTTGTGAGGTTGAAATGAAAACAGCATTACAATATAAAGTCACAGCCCAACCTACTGATTTTTTTTTTTTTTTTTTTACACATGAAAGTTTCATTGAACCCCACAAATAAGATGTGTAGGTGAAGTGACATAGGCTCATGCCACGTAAGCTGAACAGGCTTTGATGGGAAAGCTGTTTGCACCATGGGAGGAGCTGGGGCTGTTACTCAAATGGTTTTAGATGGGGGAGGGGGTACAGCTAATAATGGGCGCAGTGCCTGTGTGGAGGCCTGGGGTTCACACCAGATGACGTGGCGGTGCACACCCGTGATCCCAGCACTTGGGAGGTACAGGCGAGCGGACTTGAAGTTCATGGTCCCTCTTCGCTACCTGAGATGGGCCTGGGATAGAGGAGACCCTGTTCTGAAAATATTCCTTTCAATATTCCTCAGGGACACCTTGGAAACTAGAGTTTAGTAAATGATTCCTGGAGTAAGAACCAGCTCAGGCTTCAAGCTCCTGTGAAGACGGGGTTTCTGGTGACGAATTTAGTAAGTTGCCTGCTTGCCAGCAGTGTTACCTACGTGCCATTGATGGATGGGACCTGTCGATGGAGGGCCACACTGACTGACAAGATTTCCAGGAAGAGTTACATCGCTGGTAAGTCTCCTGTGGTTTTGTTTTTATCACAGAGAGTCCTAGCCTCTACAAATAACTGCTTTAGCGATGTGCTCCAGCACCAAATGTGTTCTACAAAACTACAGCCCCGATTTAGAATGAAGAGGTAAGAGAAGTTTGAAGTGGGTAGATAATTTTCATATGTTTTTCTTGTGAGGATTATCACTAATTTATATGTAGAGCCTGGACCTAAAATATTGAAGCAATTGATACAGGGAACAAGTTCCCTTATATGAAGCTTGCCTTAAATGAAGCTTTCCAGTTCTCCTTGTCTTGGCTCCCTCTCTCAAAGTCGGACGATGCAGCTGATTTCTTTCATGACTTGCCCGCCTTTCCCCTGCTCTACCTTGCCCTTCTGGGGCAGGTCTGAGGGATTAGCCTCTATGACGCCTTCCTGCTCGCTCTCAGTCCACTTAGATCTTAGCTCCCTCCCCCCAGTTGACCTCATCCTACCCTTTCCCCAGTAGGGGGTGGCATACAGTAGGGCTCAGTGTATTCATTTCTTCTCTTCCTTTCCATTTTTTTAACATCTTAAATGTAAATTGTCACTTAGGAGTTCCCCTGGCCTTATTCTACATACTACTTCCTATAATCACTTCCAATCTGTCAGGACCCATTAATCAATATGCACAGTATACATTTGGAAAATACAAAAAATAAGAAGAAATGTTACAAGAAGATACACCGTCCAGCCACCCACGGTGAAACTATGACTCTGCTGCCCAGTTCCCTTCCCCCCTTTCTTTTTGAAAGCCAGAAGAACACAGGAGACGGAATTCTCTTTTTCTTCTTCCTCTCATGCAGTCTTGCTTTGCGTGTATAAACAATCAAGGACTGCGTGTTATTAGTTGTACATTGTGCCCCTTAGTTGCATACTTGATCCTCTGTTCAGAAGAGCAAGCTGATTGTAATGTTGATCTTAAGTTCTCTTTCCATTAGACTATGAGAGATTGTGGATTATTCATTTTTATACCTCCAGTGTGTATTTTAAAACACGGGGTTTAACCAGAATCTAACTGTGAGAACAGCTACTTTTCCTCTTCCCATAAGAAGTTTCCATGCTGTCCTTGGCCACTTACAGCTAGCACCGGGGGCTTCCTGGTGATCGCCATTTCTCACACGTTAGCAAACCCGACAACTCTGCCTCAGGGTCTTTAATGGAGCAGTGAAAGATGATGGGAACACTCAACTCACAGGTTTTGTGGGAACTCATGCACCATGCGAACTTGATGTCCTACTTGGGCTGGTGTCCATTACCTTTCCTCTGCCTTGGAGGAAGTACATGCTCATTGTGGAAGAATCATTGAACAGAAAAACAGGAGAAAGTGTGCCCAGGTGTGTCTGCCTCCCCACACCCTCTGGCAAACAACCCCTTAACAGTTTTGTTATTAGTTTTCTGCTCTTTTTCCTTAAATAATTTCTGGGATTCACTTTAATTTATATATGCTTGACATTATGCCTACAACAGTTTGCATTTTACTGGATGTTAATGTGCTTTGCTCTATATTTATTAGTTCTAAGATATTTCCTCTCAAAACCACACCGCATTACTTCGGGGTTCGCTTGCCCTTGGGTATTGCGACCTTTCCATCCTCTCTGACATCCATCATCTGTGATTTCTGAGTTCCGTATTAATTGCTCTCTGCCCTATTCTGAATGAACACTGGAAATTTTCACATAGAGCTCTCTCTATATAATTAGAATTATATCCTTCAGAGAAGAAAATGAGTGGTTATTTCGGTTTTTCTAAACAGCTTATCAGTTTATGCTTAAACGGTAAAGAAATAAAAATACATATTCGTCAGAGAAACATAGAGGAATTTCAAATGTCAAATTATGAATACAAGACTTAGAAATTGCTTCTTGGGCAGTTTCTGAACTCTCATGCTGCACTCAGGAGTGGGTGGCCATGACTGTTTGTGTACGCTATATATGCTTGTAGGGATACATAGGATCACACTCGTGGGCTTCTTTAAATCAACCCCATTGCGTATGTAGCAAAGCCCCGAGCCCCACAGAGCTCTGGTGGAAATGTCCATCATGGAGAGGGGAGAGTTGTGGCAGAGACACTGCCCCTTACTAACTCTGGGCTCTCAGGCCAGGACTGGACATTTCTCAGCCTCAGCGTATCAACTGAGAAAACTCATTTAAATCGCAGTTTGGTAGAATCTATGTTTCAAAGGTCAAATAATTACCACTCACAAGGTCTGCTTGGATAGACTGCTGGGGGACAGTCACCGCGGGACAGATCTGAGAGAGACTGAAAGGAAAGGACCATGTTAACACTTCAAAACCAGTAATGACCACTTTCGCTTGAGATTTTAACTCCACGGCTCATCTCCCCAAATTGTCTCCCCACATACAAATTACTTTCCGAAGAATGCTTCTGAATGAATCAACAGAGATTTAAAAACCAATATCTTACAAAAGCAAGACACACCTGTAAAGAGATCACACTCTGAATCCCGGGCCCTTTAAAAATTTTCTGGAAAAACAGCATTTTCTATGATTAACAACCAATTTTTAATAGTATTTAATATAATAAAGTTTTAGAAATCTCTGGTGTATGTCAAACCTAGGGAAGAGTGGGTTGAACATTTTTATTGCATTGTGTGCGTGCGCGTGTGTGCGCGTGCGCGTGTGTGCACGCGTGTGTGCGCGTGCGCGTGTGTGCACGCGTGTGTACGTGCGTGCACGTGCGTGCATGTGTGCATGCCTGGGTGTGTATGTGTGTGCGCTCGTGTGCGCACGTGTGTGCATGTGCACGTGTGTGTGTACACCATGCACGCTAAGGCATACGTGTGAATGTCTCATTGCCAGATTCAGTTTTCTCCTGTCATGTTGGGGTTAGTGTTGGGAACTGAATTCAGATCGGCTGGCCAGCACCTTTGTCTGCTAAGCTACCTAGTAATATGGTTTTGTAATGATATAACATTGTAGTTCTTAATCAGCAACAAAGTTATTCAGACATAGAACGTCTCTCAGCTGGAGCTAACTAAGCACACATCATAGTCTTTGCTGCCTGATGAGTGTGCCCAGTGACACATCACAAATGGTGCTTCTGTGTCTACACGGTGTGCACCATGAAATGTCTGTGTCTTGATGAGTGTCTACACATTCACACACCACCAACGGTATGTGTTTCTGAGTGTCCATGTAAGTTTGTGTTTTATTGGAATGACACCATTAATGACATCATTTTCTAGATCTGGATGTTTTACCAGTGGCGAACTAGGACATTCAGAACAGCAGCTAAGTTTCTTCCAGGTGTGAGCTTGAGTACACACACCTTTGCAGGACTGGCCGTGGCCTTGCAGAACTGGCGGTAGTATTCCCAGTAGTTTTTGTCTTTTTCATTCAAAAATATCATTTCCAAGTAGGTTAGAAATCTCTCTGGGCACCTGGAGACGCAGATCTGTAGAACAGAGAAGCATAGTGATAGGATGAATGATGATGGAGATGCCTTCAAGGAGATGCCTCCAGGGAGATGCCTCCAGGGAGATGATGTCTCCAGGGAGATGATGTCTCCAGGGAGATGATGTCTCCAGGGAGATGATGTCTCCAGGGAGATGATGTCTCCAGGGAGATGATGTCTCCAGGGAGATGATGTCTCCAGGGAGATGTCTCCAAGGAAATGCCTCCAAGGAGATGCCTCCAGGGAGATGCCTCCAGGGAGATGCCTCCAGGGAGATGCCTCCAGGGAGATGCCTCCAGGGAGATGTCTCCAGGGAGATGCCTCAAAGGAGATGCCTCCAAGGAGATGTCTCCAGGGAGATGCCTCCAGGGAGATGCCTCCAGGGAGATGACTCCAGGGAGATGCCTCCAGGGAGATGACTCCAGGGAGATGCCTCCAGGGAGATGCCTACAAGGAGATGCCTCCAGGGAGATGCCTACAAGGTTAGATGGGCTTTTCAACTCCAAGCCATTATGAAGAGTAAAACATCATTTTTCACCTAAGTGACTTAAATCACACTTCTAGTTTTATCATACAAAATTAAATTGAATATAAAACTCTACCAACCTGTGCTTCTTCCTTTCTTGGTCTTGTGTTAAAACAAGATATTGAACAGTGACGATACTTTTTGGTTTGATTTTTAAATCAGCAGATAGTGTGTTAGAAACCACGGCGACATGACTAAGCTCAGCATGTTTGTGGTGCTCCTTTTCGATCTCTTCCATACAGCTGCGCCTGTCACCCCCCTTTAATTCCCTATTATTTCCCCCTTTCTTGTCCCATGCATCCTTCTTCCAAAACCTTCAATCCCTCCTCGTCACCTAATCCCAACCTCTCCAGAAACGTAAAACGTTAAGTGAGGTGACCCAAACAAATACGACAAAACCAGCCAGCACGTGGTGGATTCTAGCCCATGATATGTAAAGCTTAAAAACTCTATATGGATGTATTGCTTTAACTTGATTTTTGAGGTGAATGTAGATCCATAAGTAACTGTGAGAAATAGATTCCTGAACAGTACTACTTTACATAACTGTATGGTAATTTTATAATCACTCACGTCATTCAGACTATGCTGATTTTCTCTCCATTCAGTGCACACCTGTGAGAGGCAATACTCTGCAGATTTGGGGATTCTACCAGAGAATAATGATGATTTTTAAAGCTCCTTTTAAAGGCTTTTGTTTTTATTATCTGTGTGCATGTGGGTGCAAGTCAGTAAGTGTGCTGTGCATGCAGGTACCTGCAGAGGCCAGGAGAGGGCAGCAGATTCCCGGGGCTGCAGTTACAGGAGGTCGGGATTCGCCCAGCAGGGATGCCGAGGAACTGAACCTGGGTCCTCTGTAAGAGCAGCAAGTGCTCTTAACTATTTCTCCAACCCTGTCGTAATTTTTAATACGACATTTTCTTATGATTGTATTGCTAGGTAGGATTAGAATTCAGCGTTAATTTCGCAGCTGTATATATTCTAGGTTAGAGTCTTGCTCTGTTTTCTACATGAATAAAACGGCTTTGGAATTTTGTGACATGTGTTAATGTGCATGGGCAGTATTCACCAGCGTGCCCATGAGCTCCCCATAATTCTGAAAGCAAAATTAGACTTTGTCACCATAAGAAATAAGCAAAGCCCAGATAGCTGCCACGATTAATCGCCAGTGAAGCCTTTTATCAACACTGACTAGACACAGGCAAGAGAGGTCACCTATGCAACTGTTTTACAAGAATGGACTTGGGGTGTGTCAGTGGCAAACCGAGTTACTGTGGTCATCCATGGAGCCAAGACGGAGTGACAGCGATCCAGGGTGCAATCCCATAAACAGATGGTAGGAACACGGGAGGCGCAGGCTGCAGTTTTTGCTTATGATGATTTTTATTTTTGCTTTTTTGTTTTAATTAATTTATTTTTACTTTATGTGCGTTGGCGTTTTGCCTGCACGTGTATCTGTGTGTGACACCGTCAGCTCCGGTGGGTTTAACACTATTTCAACAGGAATTAAATGTCTGGGAGAGCGAGTTGCACTGTATTTGCTATGTGCATTTCCCACACGACCTAGGAACCCACTTATGAAAACAATAAACATGTTATATTTGTTTTATTATAGGGGCTTTGGCTGGTGTGGTATAGTGGGAGGAGTGGGAAGACGGTCATTTACCCGTTCACTAATCCCTTCATTCTATAGATATTTATTGATCATCCACTCTGGGGATCCGAAGGTAACATGAACACAGCAGGAAACAAAACAGATTAGGATCCAAACCCTCAAGGTGTTTGCCTTTCAATACAGGGAGAAAACAATAAAACATTTGTTATAAGACAGGAATAAGTGTTACTGAAGGCTAGAACAGACGCTAGAGAGTGGGCGATGGATGGGTAGTAGACCACCTCACACAAGCATGGGGACTCGAGTTTGGATCTCCACCACATGGGAAATGCCAGGTGCAGCCTCAGCCCTGTGGTCCCAGTCCTGGGGACAGACACCAGAGGATCACTGGTGGCCTTTACCTAGCCAGCCGAATCAGTGAGCTTTGGGTTCAGTGAAAAACCCTGTCTCAAAAAATAAGGTTGAGAGATACAGAGGACACTCTGGTCCCACAGTCACACACATGCATGTATGTGGGCACACATGACCTCACCAAAAAGATAACAAGTGTAGAAAGATTTGCGTATTGTGGTCGGTCCACGGAGCCACCTTGAAGAAGAGCACTCAGCTCAGAGGAGAAAGTGAAGATGCAGCAGCAGGAGCCCGCCTGCCGCCACCCTTCCAAGAAAGCAGGCGGCAGAGTGCAGTGCTAGGCAAGTTCCGTTTCACCGTGCCTTGTCTGAGCTTATTTATTTGTTTAACCTTACAGATCTTTCTGCCTAGCGGGGAACGAGGGAGTATCTTCTAGAGTGTCGCAGGTTACAAAGCTCAGGGAAGCTAGCAGAGAACAGAAGTGTCTACAGCCAGTGTGGCAGGTGACTGGCCAGGAGCTAAGCCAGCAAACAGTCCAGCCTACATGCTAGGAATGACCAGAAACTTCCGCTGCAGCCACCCTCCTCCCACAGACCCCACCCCCCCACCCCCCGTCAGGGCACCGGGGAGGGGGGGCCGAGGGGAGCCGCAAATCTCAAGACCATTTTCTATCGTATTTTTAGTATCGTTTCTATGTCACTGAAATGTGTTTATTCCTCTTCTCACTTTCATCCAATTGTATTTACATAGTTTCTCTAATTTATCTCTTGCCTTGGGCTTCCCACCATCATATGCTTTTCCTCTTCTGCTCATATTCAACATTGATTTCCCCCGTTTTTCCCTCCTCGTCGCCTTCATTTCATTCAGTTGTTACCATTTTATCTCAGTTGATTTTAACCTCATAAGTTTTCTCCACTGTTTTGTGAAAATGTCCTCTGTGTGTATTGGTGGTGCAGTGGTAGGCATTGTTTGATTTAATTAGAGTTCTGCATCCGGTTTCTGCCGTCATGGTTTGTTTTCTCTCAGTACAACCTCAGATCCAGCCTTCCAGAGAAGGCTGCTTACTTAGACGACCCCAAACAACTAGAAAGAGAAACCCATCTCGGCAGAGGCACAAATCAAAGAGCAGAAACACAGGAATCATGACAAAGCAAGGCAGTATGGCCCTTCCAAATACTCGCGACTCCTCAATAAATGAATCCAAAGGTACAGAAAGGATTGGGGACATCAAACAAGGACTTCTGGGCTGTGGTTACTTACAAGAGCAAAGGGTTACATCACTGAAGTTCCCTACTAACTCTGAAACAATTCATCTCTGCCTTAGCTTTGGTTGAATGTAAATGAACATACATGACATCGGGCTTACGTCTTCCCACATGGAATTTCTGAATTTGCCCTCAATGTTAGGGGCCGCTAACAGCACCATTAAGGCAACCTTTGTCTTACCTGTGTAGTGGGGCATTGCAGCCTAAGCATCATCGAAGAACTGGTACATCTGAACAGGTTAAAGTAAAACAAAATGGTCTTGTTCCTGTCAAAAAAAGAAAACAGTTTTATCAGTTCGGTGGGAAGGATCCACAGCGCATCAAAGCACAGACACTTTTAAGGCATTGCCTTTAAAATCAGCTTCATCATCTGTACACCCTGCAGCATGCTCTCAAACCACCTGTACACCACCAAACAATCAGAGCACTGATTTGTGATTATTAAAAGTTGAAATACATCATCTACCAGCAAGAAACTGTTTGTCACGAAGCAGAAGGTCATATTGTCATTGGGAATGATGCTGATGCACGTGCTTAATGGAAGGAGAAATTAATAATATACTTATTCCAGAGAGAAGCTTATTGAAAAGATCATTAAGATACATGTTAACTATGTGGAAAAAAGTATTAAAGTACATGCAAAAAGAAATCATGACATCTAAATTTGGGGGATATATTTCTTCATCCAGTTTTTGCATTTATGGGTTTCTTTGACATAATAATGTGTTATGCTGGCAATATAAAAAAAAAAGCAATAGTTACACTTTCTATTGCAAACTGTACTAAGTGTTACCCATGAACTTTCAACTGAATATTGCACTGCCATTTGAGATTTTCTTTGACCTTCAGTCATCTCACTAGGGGGGGTGAGGGCCACACCAGCTCTGTCCACCCGGTGGCGGCGTGGAGAGTACCTAAGATGGTGTTGGACTCCAGCAACTGTTCAACTTCAGTACACAAAAGAAAACTGTGGCTGTGGACTCCCGAGTGAACCAAAAGCATGGCTTCCTGTTCTCTCTCCAGAGAGGGGGAACTCTGGAAGGAGAACCAGTCCATCTGCACGTGTGTGTGTGTGTGGGGGGGGGGTCCTGTGGCAGGTACAAAATACTTGACAAAGGCAACCTTGGAAGAAAGTTTGTCTGGTTCAGGGATGCATCCCATCACAGCAACATCATGAGACAACTGGCCACCCTGCATCCATGGCCAGGAAACAGGGGCTGCAAGGTGACCATTATAATGGCCAAGATAAAATTCATGAAAATAAAAATTTTATTAGAATCCATGGCTTGCCTCTCCCTCCCTCCATCTGTCTGTCTCTCCCCATGTGCGTACATGTGTGCACATGTGTGTGCTCACACAATCTCTGACTCAGTCTCCTGTTGCACTCTGTGTGCACGTGTGTATGTGTGTGTGCACACGCGTGTGCACATGCGTGCACACAATCTTAGTCTTTTGTGGCATGTATTGAAAGCCCAGCAATCTTCGTGAGCCGAAGTTCCTGTAGTAGCCAGAAGATGGCGGTGCGATCTACCAAATTCCCACCTTTAGGCGGCAATGCTAAAGAACAGGCCTCCAAGCCCTGGGTTATGAGCAACTTCCCCTGTGCTGGAAGGCACAGAAAGTTACACAGGGAGGCTGATTTCTGTGTTCAGATCATAAACAATGCTCATTTTACCACGAATGTTTGTTGAGAGTGTTTGTTTTTCCTGGATGGCCAGTTACCTTTAATTTTGTTTACGATGATTTTGGGGGTTTCCTTTCTTCCTCCTTTAAGTCAGGGTCTCTCTGTGTAGTAGTCATGGCTGTCCTAGAACTCGATCTGTAGATCAGGCTGGCCTGTAATGCAGACATCTGCTTGCCTCTGCTTCCCAAGTGCTGGGAAGGAAGGGCCACATGGCTAGCCTTTTGGGGGGTTTACCCACAGTGGCAGAATTCCTTAACATACCTGTTATGTTCTAAGTTTTGCTGTTATGTTTAGAAGATGTTCAGCCCATAGTTTTACTTGCTTTTTATTGTTTCTTTCATGCCATTATATTTTAAAGTAAACACTTGACTGTTCTAATATTACAAAACAGTTGTTTACTTCTTCTAAAAGAGCCCACAGTAAAATAGTGTAACACAGAAAGAGTCTGTGCTCCCAACTAATGGGAGATGTCATTCTGTGTATGTTTCTCATACTGGTTAATGAATAAAGCACTGTTGGCCAATAGGAAAGCAAGATAGGAGGGACTAGGAGACAAGGAGGAAAGAGGAAGGAATAAGGAGGAGTCAGCATGGAGAGACTAGAGAGGACAGAACGCTGGCTCCTCTCTCCGGTAAGATGAGACCACGTGGAAATACTTAGATTAATAGAAATGGGTTAATACTTAGACAGAGCTAGCCAATAAGAAACTAGTACCTGGCCAACAGAATTATTCAGATATGATGTCTCAGTGTGTTATTGGGGGCTGGCAGTAATGGGCCCAGGCGGTGGAGAAAAACCTACTCACTACACCCAACCAACCCGATGCCTGTCTCTTGTTGCCTTAGAACAGTGACTGTTGGAGAATGCACCATTGCAGACACACGGAAGCTTTGGGTTTTGTTTTCCCTCGGGCAGAGTCTGCAACGTCAGTGATGCTCCTGATTCCTTTTTGTAGTTTGCAGAAATTCTTCACTGTCCTTCTTGGAACTCATCTTTGAATCTGTCTTCTGAGATTTACCCAAGTCTTTCACTTTCTGAATTCTTCTAGAATTATCTCAGCCATCACTTTCAGGACCCTTTGCTCGAGTGTCCTGGCTTCTTTCTTTCCCCTCACTTCTGTTCCGGTCTGTTTATTTTCCCGCTTCGTTTTCTTTTGGTTCAGGGCTTTGCTTTCTTCATCAGCGAGATCAGCACTGTGGTGCTTGGTAGGTAGGGCGTCGTCCTCCCAACAGCAACATTCAGTTTACATTTCTGCCGTGAAACCTCTTGTCAGTTTTGACTTGTTGGTGTTTTCTGGCATTTCCCCGAATGTGGGGTCCTCTGGAACCTGCCTAAACTGCTGCTTGTTCACTATTTCTTGCTTGTTTGATGGTTTTAATGTCTCACTGAAGAAATATACAGAGAAACCAAATAAAGCCCCAAGGGCATCTTGTCAGGGAACCACACGGCTCCCTACTCCTCTTCCAGATCTGGGTCTGAGCTCCTAGATCAGAGTTTTATAATTACACCCTGGCTGCTCTTACTTTCCAGTCTTTACCTGATATGCATATAAACCTTCACTGCCTCCACATTCTGTTTTTGCCATCCTTATTATTCTTTTTTTATGAAAATTTTTAATTTAAATTTGAAACAAGCTGTTTTACATATCAATCCCAGTTCCCTCTCCCTCCCCTTTCCCCTGTACCCTCCCCATCCTATCCCCTTTCTGCTCCCCAGGCAGGCTGAGGCCTTCCATGGGGAGTCTTCAAATATGTCACATCATTTGGAGCAGGGCCTAGGCCCTCCCCTATGTGTCTAGGCTGAGGGAATATCGCTCTATGTGGAATAGGCTCCCAAAGTCCATTCATATACGAGGAATAAACACTGATCCACTACCAGAGTCCCCATAGACTGCCCAGTCCTCCTAACTGACAGCCACATTCAGGGGGTCTGGGTCAGTCTAATGCTGGTTTCCCAGCTATCAGACTGGGGTCCATGAGCTTAGGTCAGCTGTCTCTGTGCCTCCATATTCTTTTAGGTGTGAGTTATTATAAACATATAGTTTTACTTGCATGAATCTGGTTTTATTCCAAATCCAGTGGCACAGGCTGGCCTGTAACCTCGGCTACTCAGGAGGCATATGAAGGGAGACTACAAGTTTCTGGCCTGGGTTTCAGAGTGAGATCAAAGCCACCAAAGGCAACACAGCGAGACTCGGTTCCAAAATAGACAAATAAATACGTAAACAGGGGCCAGGCCTAAAGTTCAGGTAGAGCATCTGTCTCCACGTGCATGGCCCTGGATTTTATCACCAACCCTGAAAAAATGTATTTACAATTGGATTCATTTGCAGCTAATTTTGTTACCATTCTACACTTTAGAATAATGTGACTACTCTAACGTTTTCCTTAGATATATCTTTATTCAATTACACTTACCCATGTTTAATTTTTAGGATCTACTTATTTTATCTTACGCTTTGGTTGCATGTGTGTATGTGTACTGTGTGCATTGCCTATTGCCCGTGGAGGACAGAAGGAGACATCCAATCCCCTGGGATGGAGACCAGCAAGCACTCTTAACTGCTGAGTGCCTTTCTAGCCCTTTAGGTATCTTTATTTTATGTGCACGGTGCCTTCCATGCATGTATACCTGTATATGCATGCAGTGCCTGTAGTGGCCAGAGAGGGCGCTGGAACTGGAGTTGAAGATGACTGTGACCTCCATGCAGGTGCTAGGCCTTGAACCCTAGCCCTCAGGTGTTCTTAACCACTGTGCTACCAGTCCAGCCCTCTTTCCTGAAAGTTTCCACACTGAGTAATGTTCGGATTTCTTTAAGTGTTCTCACTCACCATTAGATCTATAAGGACAATTTAAGATAACTTTTTGCTTAAATTTTTAATTGGTGCACATTTATTGTAATAATTAAAATGTCAATTCCAGATCCATCTTAGTGATAAAACACTACGGTCATGTTTCCACATCACAGGTCACCCTCAAAGGAAGTCAGGGCAGGAACTCAGGCAGGGCAGGAGCCTGGAGGCAGACCACATATATAAATAATACTTTAAAAAGCTACTAGAAGGCTTAAATACATTGATATAGGCTTAAGACTCAAAGAAAAAGTATGTAAGTTTATTTATGCAATAATTTTTTGTAAGAAATTGAAAATACAAAAATCCTGTAATACAACAAAATATTTTTAAATATTGGTTTTGCAGTTGGAAAAAAAAAAGTTTGACTCCTGCTTCATTCTGTTTATATAGAAAGTAAGTTTCGGCCAAGTTGGAAATTCAAGTAAAGAAAAGGAAATGATTAACGAGTGCCGTAGAAACACAAGCAAACAGTATTCTCAGGATCACACATGACACAGATGCTACTACAGGAAATATGAACAGGATCAGCCATTGCAACCGTGAGCACTTTCTCCAATGGGTCTCTTAGATTTTATTAGATGATGGACCAGAACTGTCACGCACATGTTGTTGAAATCTGTTCCATTTCAAACTTATTTTTATCAGACATTTTATTTGAATGAATAATCAGCCGGGCAAGAGTCACCTCTGGATAGTCTTTATGCACTGCAATTTGAGGTGTTACCTCTTTGTCTAATGTAAGTGGGTCATGGGCTTAGGTCTGGAAGACTTGATAATGAAATCCTTTTAAAAACAGCTTGTTTCAAAGTAACTGAGGATTTAGAGATTTCTATGCTTCTTTCTTTTTTTTTAAACCATGGTACTTTCTCCCCACCCCTCACCCCAGTGTAAAAGTCTCAGACTTTTTTTTTAAGGCTTCTAAGGTTAAATACAATCACAATTTGGATTCAAAATTAGTTCAGATGTCTGTTCCCTTTTGTAGGGAAAACTTTCTCCACATCTGCTTTAATATGATTGAGGGTTTCCCCTTACCTCCTCCAAATTTCTGTTTTCTCTATTATATACAGTTATTCAACCCCATGAATACTTCAAGTCTTTTCTGAGTGCCTGTCTTTAATCTATAATCTCTTGGCCTCACACATTCTCAGTTCTGGGTGGCGCCACAGGGGCATGAGGAAGTGTTGGGCTGTATTTTTGTTGGTGGAGACCCTGTTGTTAACCGGCCTTTTGTTTTTCCATAAGCAACCACAGAAATTCAGCTGTTTGCAAAGGAAGAGAAGATGTAGCATCAAGCCCATTAGTGAAGAGAGAAATGAACCATGAGAAAGGTTTCTCTCTAAAGGTGAGGCGTGGCTTTTAGCTATCTGCTGGATTCTTGGTAAATAAATAGAAAACTTACTTTCAAACGGAGACTCTGCTTTGATGGACATTGAACACATTGTTTTCAGCTATCAGGGCACTTTGGGGATGTGCGTGTTACCCCCCAAAGATCACTGAAGATCTGGAGACACTTCAAAAGGAAGAACACCATGGAAAAGTAGCCCAACGGTGGCGCGGTACAGGCATCTCAGCAACTGCTCAGTGTGGCCAAACAGGAGCCCAGTCCACAGGGCGTGCGCTAAATATGGCCACTAGCAAGTCCCTGGTCCCATCCTTGCTTTAGGATGTTATTTTCACTGATAAGGTGGAGATACAGAGAATGAAATCCCCAAACCACTTAGGTCTGTCCTTAAGAAAGAGACAGGAGAAGCCTCCTTCCTGAGTCTCAGCCCTCCCCAGAGATCCCATGGGACTGATGCTAATGCCTCCAGGTTCCTGTTAGACAGTAAAGCTGTGCAAAGCACAGTGAGTGGCCATACTCACTCATTGGGGGTTCCCTTCTGGCCACAAAATTGTCCCTGGCTGTCTGTAGGATAGGCCACTCTCCTGGGGTCTCCATACGTCCAAGCTGTGGGAACAAGAAAGGACAAAGTCTCCATCAGCAGCATCTAGCTGAAGGCAGTCTGATTGGAGAGATTAGAATCGCCACGGCAACGCTCGACCCTTCCCCTTCAGTCATAGAACATTATCGATTTTCTTCAAAGAGTAATTTCTTAATGAAAAGTAAAATAAAATATGGATCGGCCTGAAAGCATGTTTTCCTCCTCTCCAGATTCATCTGGGTTGCAGCCAAAACATGAGGTAATGCACTGAGAAAATGACAGTTATTAGAATGAGGAGGAGAGGGCGCAGACAAAAGCTCTCTTGGAAAAGACGACGCCTTTTCTAAAGCTCGGGCACAAATGACTTCATGCCAGAGCTGACAGATTGACTCCAGTTAGCATGATGTAATGCTGTGGGGATATACCGGAGTGAGACACACTTACAAATGCAGCTCAGTGAACCGACTAGGTCTCTGACTCCATAGGACCTTCAAAAGGCAAACAAGGACACAGCAGACGCAACCCTCGGGAACGACCTGGCGGGCAGGCGTTTGCCGGGTAATCTCAGACCTTAATACGGACTCCATAGGTCCCCGACTTCTGTGTAGTAAGGACTCACTGTGTTTTCTGTGGAGATGCTGGGCTCTGCTTCACACAATTAATCAGCTGTTTTGTTTGTTTTTGGTGTGGGCTATAAACTTGGCCTGGCAGGTAGACAGCAAGCCCAGGGAAAGTAACATCCCTCCCTCAATTAGCCAATACTTGCTAATTCTACCTGAATTTATCCACCTTCTCAAAGTTTGAACAACACGGTCAAGAGTCTAATCTGCTGATGAAAACACATCTCTCCTCTCCGCTTCTGATAAGCCTGCTCAGCCATCTCCTTCCCGGCCTTATTGGATTTGACAGTTTGCCTTATGATTCAATCGTCTTTATGCATGTGGCCGCTGTGACTTAAGATGGTAAAAAAAAAAAAAAAAAATCAATCTTCCAAATGAGGACTGTAACAAGGAAGGAGGCTATTTCCTCATCAGCCTAAGCTCTTCGCTCGGTGTCCAGTATGGAAGGTTCCTTTGTCTACTTCTCTCTAATGTCCCAGAGGCCAAGCCAGCTGCATCTCCCAGTACTGTCTTGTGAGCCTGAGTGGCTGTCCCCCACCATGTCTCCGTGTCCTTAAACCCATAAGCAGGTGTGTCAAAGACACCCAAGTGCTCAGTGCTCAGTAGAGCCTTTCCACACTGGTTCTGTGCCTACGTCTGCCACATATTGGCTAAGCCTAATAAAGTGATCCAATCTTAGCCAACAGCATGCTTCAATGCGTTTCTTTCAGCTTTATCCTAAAATGTTTTACCCTGCTCTTCCCAATAGTTATTAACCGAGCATTACGCATTGGACTCTTTTTCGTAAATGTTTTTCTTTACTGTTGGATTTCATGCACACACACACACAATGCGATATGACCACTTGGGCTCCAACGTCCCTCCCCCCGAGTCTACGCGTGTCACCTTAACATAGTTCCCTCCCAACTTTATGCCTTCTTTTTTAAATAACCCACAAAATCCAGTTAGTGTTGATCATGGTGGATGTGGAGCCATTCAAAGGCATGTGGGCAACCAGCGCCACACCCTCAAGGCTCAGTGAAGAAGTGAGAAACTTTGAAGAATGGTCAGCATTTGGATGTGGAGCTGGGCATGGGCAGGAAGGGAAACTGTGTGAGACTAGAAGCTTCCCTGTGTGGTCTGTTTGTGACAGGTCAGAGAGTCTCTGCTACACCGGGAACCTCACAGTAACTCTAAGAGGTTGCCATCCTTTTAATCTATGTTTTGTGTAGAGTGTGCGTCTCAAAACCACACATTTTAAAGTGATAGAAGCAGGTTAGTTTTGTAGCTTCATGAGGCCTTTGGTTTTATCCACCAAGACTACAGAGGCAAAGAAGCTAAAATAGATCAAGTAAATAGAAAATAATTCCATAATAAAACATTTAAATACATCAGATATTAAAAAATAAGGTTCAAATAGATTAAATAACAAAGCCTCCTGATAATAAATTAGTAATAAGCTTGTTTTTTGTTTGTTCGTTTGTTTTCTTTTGCTGTGATGAAAATACCACGAAGAGATAACTTAGGGGAGAAAGTGCTTATTTCAGCTGACAGTTATCACAGTCATTCACATTTTCACTGCAGAGAAGTCAAGGCAGGAGCTTATAGCAGCCGACCGACCACATAACACCCATCAGCAGCAGCAGAGGGAAATGAGCCCTGCACACTTGCTAGAGCTCAGCTCAATTGCTCCAGCTCAGCTCAATTGCTCCACGCTGACAGAATCCAGGACCTTCTGAGTGGTGTTAATGCTGCCCACCTTAAGGTTTGTTCTTCCTACATTGGCTAAGTAGTCAAAACAAAACCTCCCAGACATACACAGGCCAACCTGTCCAGACAGTCCCCCAGTGAGATCCCACACTGCCTAGACAAGCACAGGCCAGCCTGTCTAGATGGTCCCCCAGTGAGATCCCACACTGCCTAGACAAGCACAGGCCAACCTGTCCAGATGGTCCCCCAGTGAGATCCCACACCACCCAGACATGCACAGGCCAGCCTGTCTAGATGGTCCCCCAGTGAGACTCCTTTCCAGGTGACCCCAGGCTATGCAAAGCTGACAATAATAACCAACCGTCACAGAGCTTGTTAACAGTAAAAATTATGTCTGGATAATGAAGAGTCCGCCGCCATGGCTGTGCATCGCTAGTGCAGAATGTTCAGAGTGGAGGGCCCTGGAAGGAGACTGGCCTTGGGGATTGTGAAGTGATCAGTGGGTTATACCACTGATAACCCTGTCATTAGATGGCACTGTTAACAGGTGGAGGGGCTTGACACAGGAAACCCACCGGAAGGAAGTCGGTCACGCATGGGTGTGGGGGGAGTGTTGCTACCTCCTGGTGCTGCCCTGTGGCCATGCTCACTGAGCAGCTTCTTCCTTCCCACCCGGCTATGGGGAGGAGGCCTAGCCACAGACGCTGTGCGTCCGAGCCCGAAGTGCTCCAAGCTGCTAGAAGAAGAGGAAAGGAGACACACAGCAATAGACACCACTGTTTGACGCCATTGTTCAGAGAGTCAGGGACATCCAAGTTCGTTCATGCAGTTTCCAGGACAGGCTGTCTGGTGTAGACACTAAGACCTGAGTGGATTATTAGGACATGTAGAGGTCCACTAAGACCTGAGTGGATTATTAGGACATGTAGAGGTTCACTAAGACCTGAGTGGATTACTAGGACATGTAGAGGTTCACTAAGACCTGAGTGGATTACTAGGACATGTAGAGGCCCACTAAGACCTGAGTGGATTACTAGGACATGTAGAGGCCCACTAAGACCTGAGTGGATTACTAGGACATATAGAGGCCCACTAAGACCTGAGTGGATTACTAGGACATGTAGAGGTTCACTAAGACCTGAGCGGATTATTAGGACAGGCACAGACTGTGAATGGGAAAAACCTGACTTGCTTTATTTTGTAATTTGAGATAGGGTCTGATGTTTGCCAGGCTAGACTACAGACATAGTCGAGGACGATTCTGAGCTTGTTTCTCCACCCCCTACCTCCAAAGTGTGCTAAGACTATAGGCGTGCACCACCATGCCTAGTTCATGTGGTTCTGGGGACTGAATCTTGGTTTTACATGTATTAGGTAAACATATTTTAAACACAACATGGTCAACATCAAAGAATCTCTCCATATTTTTATACTGGTTTCATTTGGAATAATACTTAAATAAAATACATTAGTAACTCAGTGAAATAAATTCACTAGTTTTTAAAAATACTCTCAAATGTGGAAAATTGGAGATTATATTTATGATTTATTAAAGCTTGCCTGAAGATTCAGAAAGCAAAGTCAGCCACAAGCCATAGAAGCCAGGCGGTGGTGGTACACACCTTTAATCCCACCACTTGGGAGGTAGAGGTAGATGGATCTCTGTTAGTTCAAGGCCACACTGATGTCCTAGGGAGAGATGGGGTGGGGACAACTGTGGTTGGGGAGAGAATAATAATAATAATGAGTAAATCATAAAAGACACTGCTGCATCTCGCTGTCATTTCTGTTCCTGAACTCTAGCCGTAGGGGATGACGCCACCTGACAACACTTAGTCCCATAGAGAATCCCAAATGAGGGAAGCTACTGCCTGTATTCCCAGCACCTGGGGTTGAAGCCACGCTGGGCTCTATGCTGTAGCACCACAGAAAACAGGGGGGGTGGGTGGGTCAGAACTATGTCCTGGGTTCCAGCCTGCCCTCCACTTCATACTTCTTCTGTAATTAACCCTGTATCCGAGTGGGCAGAAGTGTAAACTCTAGGGTTAAACTGCGTGGCTTATGAAGGTAAACAAAACCAAATTAGTTTTGCAGCCCAATTTATAAACACTTGAATAAATCATTTTATTCCCTTCATTAGCTCACTGTTTTAGAAGGTGTGTGTGTGTGTGCATGTGTGAGGGGGAGGAACAGAAATTGAACCCTTGCACATTGTGTTGAGGTAGCTCACAGAGGATGGAAAGGACATCACAAGCCTTATCTGGGCAAATGACCTTATCACTCATCTTAAGGAAACACTTATCCCTGAACGTACAGGACAGCGTGCGTAACTATCTAACATCAACATCCTCTCTCGTTTTCAGGGTAAGTGCCAGTTGTGCTTTTGGGTTGAGCCGAAAAGTAGCATCTGTTATAAAACCCTCCATCAAGGAGAAAAGGATCAGCCCGACCCACTCATGCTGACACTTAAAAATTAACTGCAGAGCTGTTTGACTTGCTGCGTGGGGAAGCTGGCTCTAGATCATCAGAGTGCAGCCCTTAAAGGTATGTCTTAACTGTTTCAGTATGTGAGGAGCAGGCCTGCCAAATTGTGTTTATGGCTTTTTAACACAAGCAATTTACAAATGCACTAAAGCAGATAACACGCACATGAAGCTGGGTCTGAAGATTGTTGTTGACAAGGCTGCCTTTGACAAGAAGCAGCCCCGCCTCCGGTT